TACCAGACGAGTTCGAAAGAAAAAGAAAACGACAAATTATCGTATACGGTTCGGCCACTCGTTATGGTCCGCAATCAGTCGCCAGCGCAAGTGGTCAAGTTAGTTTCAAGTTATTCGCCAGTTTTTAGACAACATAGAATGTCTTAGGAACCTACGTAGTTATTTTGTTCCATCTGGCCTGACCTGAATATCCTGACCTTGCCGCGATCCTTGAATTTTAATATTAAACTATCGTTCCGACAAATTAAAAGGCTTTGAACATTTTAGGAAATATATATCGATCCTTTGACGTTAACTTTTGAACTTGGATAACTTTCTAACGATAATATGAAATAATATGAATAAGCAGCGTATATGAAATTAATTTGAATTAATAACATAACGAATAAATAAATAAAATTTAGAAACCGTAGCAAAGTCAAAAACGTTCGGATCATGTCAGAGTACCACTTTAAAGATGTTCCTTTGCACAATTACTTTTGTGCAATCTTTAATTGTCAGAACACATTATCTAATGTTACAGATGAATATTGTCAGACATTTCAAGTCTTGTTACAATAATTCGATATAAAGTTTTTACTATACTAAGAATATTTTATTCAAATTTGAGATAATTCTTAACGTCAGCCAGTACGATTCGATCGAACATGACGAAAAGATCGTAGAATTAAAATCAATCTCGATTTCAATTCGTTATTTGTTCACAAATTAATTATTAACTGTCACTTGTAGTAAAATATTTTGCTCGAATTCGAGATAATTTTCAACGTCACCAGATCGAGAAGGATCGCGGATAAAATTTCTTGCTCTGCTCTTTCTACAAAATTTTTGTCAAAATCAACGTAGTTACCCGTAATGGAGCAACGATCAGACAAAGATCAAGTCGATCTGTACAATCCGATTTCATTGGTTTGCCGCAGATCGAGCACGTTGAAGCGGTACCGAAGAAAGGACATCACGCTCACGTTACCCGATGGCAAGACGCTGAGCAACGTGAAATGGTTCGCCGTATGGTGCGACGAATTCTCCGTGAGTAAGAAGCGTATCCTTCGGTGCTCGTGACCTTCGGTGTCGCTACGACTTCCACTTGCACGCCGCAGGAGAACCGGTATCGTTTCTTTGCCGCGCAACTTTCACGCTCGTGAAGTTTGTTACCGCGCCGTCCCTCCCCTCGCAGAATAGAAAGCAATTGCCTACAATTGGCTCCGAGCCACACACAACCAACTACGTACCACCTCGGCAAATTACGCTCGATCGTCTCCGCGAGAGAGAATGTTTTCGAATGCAAACGAGCTATTGGAAATCCGATTACGATCTTGAGAATCACGCGTTAAAGGAGCGCGCGTGTGTGTGAGACATAGCGTTTAATCAGTCAAAGGCTAACGTTTTCCATCGATATGCAATATTTCTTTTTTTTTTTTTTTCTTTTTGCAATTTTTCCAACTTAGGTTAATTGTAGGTTGTCGATAATTAATATTTTTAACGTTGGTGGATCATTAGTCGTGGTTTTTTCAAAAATATTTTTAATGAGCCGTATTTTTTTTAATCGTCAATTGAATCTCTGCATCTTCTTCGTGCCCAGAATGAAGATGATACTTCATGTTTCGCCAATTTCATTACAAAACTGTTTTGTTAAAGCTCACTGTCGAAACCTATGTACAAATTTTGTTTTAACACTTAGTTTTAACTACCAAAGTGGTCAAAATTTATAATTTTTCTTAGATATTTTTCAGACGACAAAAACAGCTTTATCTTTAACGATTTAAACAAATTTGAATAAAAGTTGCATACTCAAGTTTACTCTATTTATACTAAAGTTTCTCTATTTCTTTTTTTTTTTTTTTTATTTCAATGCTTTAATCGTCGGTAGTTCTAACGTTAATATCGTCAATGTGTCATTCATGACGACAAAACGTTTAATTACACTGGCTCTATGAAGAAGAAAATTTTGAAATGAAATTTTAGCCACACCCCCTAATTTAAGCTTTCAAGCTTTCAGCAATTGGGGAAGTGTAAATCGACTTATGAACGAAAGTGTAACCCCTCAGCACGTGACAGAGATCAACCAATCGGTCTGTGGTGTACATTTTTTCTTTTCTTTTTTTTTTTTTTCCTCCCCTTCACCAACGGAATTTCAAATTGAACGAGAAGTTTAACCGAAAGCACTGGTTCCGTGTGGCCGGTTATCCGCGACAGTCCGCGCGGATCGTCGATTTACGTCCTTGATATTGCCAACGCGACGAAAATTTATTCCGACACACGGCGGCAGATACCATGCATGTAACACCGGAATGATAAAGCCCGATCACGACACACACGGAACGGCAGCGAAACGGCCGAAATTTCCATTACCGGGGGGACGGGCGTTGGAAAACGATAAAATGGAATCTGTTTGTGGCATTATTTCTGGGGCTTATGAATTCTGCATACCACCACGGGCCGAGCCGCCGCCTACAGTAATCGTATTACAAATATATGTGTTAATCCCTTCGGGACAAACGTTTCGGGACAATCTCCTGAGGCAACGTTATAACGCATTCAGAAAGATTGCTGGATCGTTATGGCGATACCTGAGATTTATTGGAACGTGTTGATCTCATTACACAATCGCGTGCAAATGCATCTGATTAAACAGATTCTTTAGTTTAGATTCTTTGTCAAACGTTATTTAACGTTACTCTTTATCCAACGTTATGTGAACGTATTTATTCTTTGTTTGCTCGTGTGCACTTCCATATACAATCTGGTGTGCAAAGTGTGCTATAAAGTAGAAACTTGGTATTCTTGAAATTTATTGGAACGTGTGATCTCATTAGACAAAAGCTTCCGATCAAACGGGATTATCCCTTTATTCTAGACTCTTTGTCTAAAATTATTCATCTTTGCTCTTTGTCTAGCATTATAATTCTGCCATTAATCTGATGCTGTACGAACGTGTTTATTTGCTTATCGTCGTGCTTCTACATACGTCTGTCATTGAAATATAAAGTGAAGAATCTGCCTTGATGTGAAACTTCACCAAATCGCTGCAGACGGTTTGCAGATTTTACAACATTACGTTCATTTCTAAAAGATGGCCGTGTTTCGAAGAAATTGTTATACACTATCTCGTATACCGATTGAGCGTCGCAGCTGATTCAAACCCCATTAAAGAAACGTACCTGTTGTAAACAGGTTAACTTTGGCGACGTCAGAATACCACGAAACTTCGACTACCCGAAACCACAAAAATTGGCAGCTTTAAACGGCGTACACGGAGTAAGCTCCGAGCCAATCGTCGTCGTCGATGCTCAAACCCTCTTGATACCAAGCTTCAGCTACGATGGCGAGGCGCCTGGTAAGTTGCTGGCAAAAAAATCTCGTCTTTCCCATTCATAAACGAAACGACATTTTTACATGTGCCGAAACGTGCAGATATAATCTCAATATAAATACGACAAACAAGAGAACGATTGATAACAATTTTTGGAAAATTAACACGTTAAATTACGTTCATGTCAGAGCATTTTTTCTTTTTTTAATTTTCCTTCGCGAATGTGTCTATCTTGCACGTGCAAAATATTTATATTTTTTTCCTTAGCGGATGTGAAAATTAGAGTATAGAATGATAATAATCGATCTTGGGGGATTTCGATACAATTATCTCGAGTTTGTTGGATAAATAAGGATATGGAATGTCTATACCAGGAATCATTGAACAAGAATTATTATTATTATTTGAATAATTTTAAATTATTATTCGAATGATTTTAAATTATTATTCGAATAATTTTAAAACAAGATTTTAGACGAGCATCTTGAAAATACTCCTGATATTGCCATTACTATCAAACCAATTATAGCAAAGAACAAGCTCAGTGTTCTCATTTTCAAAATTTTCATACATTTTTAATTAATACAAATATATTTTTCTAATCAACGTACCGTTTCACTATAAAAGTTGTTTCAATATCCTCGTAAACAATACAAATTGCGTCGAACTAATAAAAAAATAATGGCCCTCGACAAATGTTTGTTGACCAAAACCAACGAGACGCAGAATATCCAAAAGGTTGGACACTTGTCTGGAATTAAGTTATCAGTTGCATAACTCCACTGCGCAGTATTATCGACTCCCTAAGTTCCATTAAAAATTTCTCTCAAAAAATGTGTTCTCATTAAAAATTTTCATACATTTTTAATTAATACAGATATATTTTTCTAATCAACGTACCGTTTCACTATAAAAGTTTCACTATAAAAGTTTCAATATCCTCGTAAATAATACAAATTGCGTCAAACTAATAAAAAAATAACGGCCCTCGACAAATGTTTATTGACCAAAACCAACGAGACCCAGAATATCCAAAAGGTTGGACACTTGTCTGGAATTAAGTTATCAGTTGCATAACTCCACTGCGCAGTATTATCGACTCCCCAAGTTCCATTAAAAATTTCTCTCAAAAAAGTGTTCTCGTTAAAAATTTTCATACATTTTTAATTAATACAGATATATTTTTCTAATCAACGTACCACTTCACTATAAAAATTGTTTCAATATCCTCGTAAATAATACAAATTGCGTCGAACTAATAAAAAAATAATGGCCCTCGACAAATGTTTATTGACCAAAATCAACGAGACCCAGAATATCCAAAAGGTTGGACACTTGTCTGGAATTAAGTTATCAGTTGCATAACTCCACTGCACAGTATTATCGACTTCCCAAGTTCCAAGTTCCTGCTTCCAAGTTTCCTCCTCCCCGCCCCAAGTTCTGTCGAAGACGAAAATTTTCGTTTTTTCTTCTCGCAGACGCGAAATTCTGGGTGGGTGCCGGGCCGACGCCATCGCCGCAAGGTATTCGGGTACCGGACGAGAACGGAAAGGAGCAGCCGCTGCGTCGATACGATCGCAAAGCCATCGTGCTGACGTTGCCCGGGGATCTAACGATCCACCAGATCGGCCACTTCGGCGTCTGGTGCGAGGCGTTCACCGTGGACTTCGGCCATGTACAAATTCCGCAGAATCTTAACGTGCCACCGTCCCTGAAGATGCTCGGAGTTTCGCCGCAGGTAAGCTGGAAAGGCTTCTTGTAGCCAGCCTCAGCGAGAAGGGGGCAGGCTTGCTGCAAGAGGAGACGGCTTGTGGATCTTTTAAAGCGCGACGCAAACCTCCGCTAATCCGGCCAACTTTCCGCGGACGCAGCTTCTCACAGCCGAGTCCGTGTATCGTTGCGAGTTAATTGAAACCGTGGCATTCTCAGAACACGAAACTGCGAATGCCAATCACGTTTCGAATTGGCAGGAGGTAAGGGGATTCCAGCCAAAGTTCTTTAGCCGTTCTCCGTCGATTTACATCGGGCCCTTTCGCGCGCAAATTCCCACCTTAAACTTCCAACCGCTTTTACATTCCGTCGGCATTCCTCGCTGAGCTAAATGTCTCGGTAAATCGAACGAATCTTGCTCTCATCTTCCGCGGCTGCGACTTCTGTATATAATGGAAGTTTAGGAGTAAAAATCATACACTCTCGTTTGGCGCGACAGTCATCGAACGTCTTCGCCTTTCGTTTTTCGCGTAAACGCAGTCGAGACAAACTTGCCTTTCACGGCTCACGATCGATACGGACTCGATATTGTTCCACGCTGAATTTGTCTCTGTCAATATTTGAGCGGATGTCTGACTGTCGGCGGACGACAATGCGTTCGCCGATTTACGGATTTTCCCCGACCGAAAACGTGCTGCCGAAGTATCTCGTCCTCTCGATAGAAAGCCATATACGCGCGGAGAAGAAACTTTCGTGTTTTGCTCGCTAGCGTGGAAAGTTGCTCTGGTGCCAATCAGTGTCTCCGATGATTCCCGGGGGAGAAATCTGCCGATTTCGCCGCCGTGTGTGGAATTCCCGTCATCCTGTTCAAAGTGTAGCGATGTAAACAACGAGAATCGAGACGCCAGCCACCTGAGAAAAGTGAAAATTTGCTTTGCGTCCTCGTGGAAAATTTCTGAGGTGAATCGGTGTCTCGGTGAACGCGGGGAAAAATGACAAAAGTGCGATTCTCGTTGTCGTAGAATTTTGATCGTGCGAAGGAAGAATTTCCACAATGCTGCGATTGATTTCTCAGCGAAAATGTAAACGACGAATCGATTGAAACACCCAGAAAAATGAAAATTTGTTCCAAAAATCGTCAGAGAGACAACTGTGTTCTCGTAGAAAATTTCCAACGTCAATCGGTGTCTCGACGAACGCAGAAAGATGAGAAAACGTGTTCTTTTCATTGCCACAGAATTGTTATCGTTGCTACGATTAACTTTCTTGTCCAAAAAATAAACAATGAATTGTCGAGACGTCAATAGCCTCAGAAAAATGAAAATTTGTTCCAAAAATCGTCAAAGAGACAACTGTGTTCTCGTAGAAAATTTCCAACGTCAATCGGTGTCTCGACGAACGCAGAAAGATGAGAAAACGTGTTCTTTTCATTGCCACAGAATTGTTATCGTTGCTACGATTAACTTTCTTGTCCAAAAAATAAACAATGAATTGTCGAGACGTCAATAGCCTCAGAAAAATGAAAATTTGTTCCAAAAATCGTCAAAGAGACAACTGTGTTCTCGTAGAAAATTTCCAACGTCAATCGGTGTCTCGACGAACGCAGAAAGATGAGAAAACGTGTTCTTTTCATTGCCACAGAATTGTTATCGTTGCTACGATTAACTTTCTTGTCCAAAATATAAACAATGAATTGTCGAGACGTCAATAGCTTCAGAAAAATGAAAATTTGTTCCAAAAATCGTCAGAGAGACAACTGTGTTCTCGTAGAAAATTTCCAACGTCAATCGGTGTCTCGACGAACGCAGAAAGATGAAAAGTGCGCGATTACCGTTAGAGAATTTCACCGTTGCCACGATTAATCTTGTCATCGTAAATGTAAAGGACGAATCGTTGAGACGCTGAATGAAAACTGTTGTTCACTCACTGCAAGACCCATGCATAACATCCTGTCTCTGTCCTTGTGTTGCAGAACGTGCATCGCGGAGGGCAGGGACAGACGCTCGGTCTGGCAAGTCTGTACGAGCTGTCCGCTTCGGCGTCGTCGTCGTCGTCACCGGCCACCGTCGCTCCGTCTCCTTCTCCCTCGTTTGCGAACGCGTTGCATACTCAGCGGCAATACCAGCAACGACCGACGACCTACCGGCCGATCGCTCGCCGAGAAGATCAGGTCCAAGCGGTCCAGGCGATCGACTATCGAATACCAAAGAGCTTGCAGACCCAGGAACCTCTCGCGCAGCAGCTCCGTCGGCTTCAGACCGCCTCTTATCCGACACCGGCCGGAAGATCGGCCGCGATCGTTCAATACGGCGACGACGTCGCGAATTCGGACGACGCCGCGTATCAGCAACAGTACAAGCTCGACGATGATCAGCCTTCCGTCGAAACGGCCGCGACTCAACCTGCCGAATCATCGGCCAAGCGTGGCCAAGCAACCAGCAGAGAAAGCGAAACTCAGCCGAATTCGTACGCGAGATTGCGGTTCCAGGGCGACAGGAGGGTGGACTCCTTCGTTCGTTACTAACGTTGGAGATTTGTAAACGTTCGCCGAGGCCAAACCAATCAGAAACAATTTCACGTTGATACTTCCACGTTCCTTGAAAAATTTGCTGTCGTGTGTGTGCGTTTTCTCGCGTCTCTAATCTTTGCTGCTGCGTTTGTCGTCCGTGTTGTTCGATTCGATGATCGAAAGGAAAATAAGAAAGTGCTAGTAGTGGATAATTTCTTATTGTCGCTCGAGGATTCCCATCGAAACGCTCGTTCTTCCCATTTACGGAGGTTCGTCTTCCCTCGCGATAGAAATCTCCGGGCTGTTCTTGCTTGATTAGTCTTCGAGAAACCTCGATCAACGGAATTCGATCCGTACGGCCAAGGCAAGGGGAACGATTCGTCGCGGTAAACGGTAAACCAGATCGTAAATCAGACTGTCTAAGCAGAACTCGGTCGAATACTCGCGTTTCGACAAATTAGCGAAAGTTCCTTGCCTGGCTGGCTGACCGCCGATCATCATTCGTTCCGTTCCCGCCGGCGGTAGGACCTTTTAGGTGACACAGCTGGGATAATATTAGGCTCGTTCGTAAAGTTCCACAGTCGCGTGAACAAGCACTTTGGAAGTTTCACGCTCGCGAGAAAACACGAGAGACGATGCTCCCCTTGGCTTTCATTTTTATTTATTTAACATCGGCAATCTGTTGCATCTGCGACGGAGAATCACTGAAAGCTACCCTTTACCATCTGTACAGCTACTTGTACACACTTTCGTAGAACGTACACACACGCGGACACTCGCACTCGGATGGAAACATTTTGTAATTCAGCGAAACGCTCAAACAACGACGAACGAAGCGTAATTAACATTGCGGACCGTACACGATAATTCGTCGCTTTCTTTTTCATTCGAGCTCGTCGGTACGACATCACTGGATAGAAATTATTGACAAGTAATAAATTGATCATTCGTTTTTCCCGAGTTATACTTAGATGTACTTAAAACTGAGGAAATATTGCAATTTTGAGGCAAAAAGTTCTCGACGTGCGTTAGAGGTTAATCACTTGCGCTGGCAACTGATTGCGGACCGTAACGAGTGACCGAATATCGTACGCGATAATTCGTCGCTTTCTTTTTCACTCGAACTCGTCGGTACGAGTATCGCTGGATAGAAATTATTGACAAGCAATAAATTTCTCATTTGTTTCGCCTGGGTTAGATTTAAATATACTTGAAACTGTGAAAATGTTGCAATTTGGGACAAAAGATTCCGGCGCAAGAGGTTAAACGCATTTTTAGCAACGTTTACTTTTCGCTATTAACACCTTAGCAGACCAGCAAATTCGACGGGATGCCTTTTTGTAATTTTTGTAGTAAACTGCGTGCGTAAATATTGTCCACCGAAAAGTAGTATCTTAAGATGACGTTGTTTAAAAAAAAAAGACGAAAAGAATCTGACCCAAATGTGGGAGCTTCCTGAGAATTGGCCAACAGGAAGACAAATTTTCGTAAAAAGACCAAAGATATAATTATTAAGAGGCAATATTTTCTGTAATTAGAAAAGCAACGCGATATCGGTCGATTGAAAGCTAAGAGCTACGTAAAGAATCGAGATCGAGCATGACAGAAAAATCGTCAGACTCGGCTCGTAATTTGTCAAACAGTGGACACTGGACTATTAAGAGGTTAATTTAGCATTTACATCGGTTAGTTCACAAGCAGTTCACTTTATCTTACGCGCGTTTACAAGAGAAACGAAAAGAAAGAAGTTTCCACGAAGAAAGGAAAAGTTCCCTCGGTTCCATCTTTCCGCTCGTTCGTGAAAATAAAAATAAATTCACCGTGCGTGGAGGCAACGTGATGAACTATTCCACGTACATACGTAGGAGCGCACATGCCCACGGAGACGTGCCTTTAATCTCTCGAATCCCCTTTAGAATTCTATTGTAAGAGACGTATGTAGGATCTCGCCCCCGTAGAAGTGGATGCGTCGCGTCCTCCTCGAACAATACGGAGTCGCCGTAATTCACGCTTTGCTGTCTACCGGCCGAGCCTTGTATGAAACACGTGTCGATATTAGTGACACTTGGATATCGGTTTGTCTCTCGGCTCATCTGCGTGCGTTGCACGAACACGAACACAGACGCGTGGCCACCGAAAGAATATTCCCTGTAACTTGAGACACACTTGGAACACCGAGGCTACGACAATTTCTTATCGCTCAATTCCATTCGCGCGTTACGCGTAACATCATAGCAGAGACGATGGAACTCAAATTTTGCGACACGAGACACTTGAAACTCACGAGCGAGTGACAATCTGCGTTATTTATTTCCAAATGAGTTTTCGTTCGAACCTTGGACTTGTATCGAGAGAGAGAGAGAGAGAGAGAGAGAGAGAATTTGTCAAAAGTTTCTAGTTTTAAGAGAAAAGAAGAGAAAAATAAGCATTCCGAGTTACAAGGGAGATTTCATGCTCCGAGAGTTTCGAGACTTCGCCAACTTTCAAGCTCGAGTTTCGCGAATCTAAAAATCAAATCTCGCCCGGTCTCTCCGGTGAAAAGTTCCGGCGATAAGTTATAAGCCCAGCGAATGAATGTCACGCGATTGTATAATAAATTTGCCCGTCGCCGTTACAAGTTCAAAGTACAACCACTGATCTAAAGTAGTACAAGAGCCAAGCGAAGAAGAAGAAGAAGAAAAAGAAGAAGAAGAAGAAGAAGAAGAGACGTTGTTTTTCTAAGAGTTGAGCGTGCAAGGAGAGAGAACGATGGTTATTCGACTGTGATACAAGGGTTAATTATTCTTATCTTCGCGGTCCGAGAGGAGGCGCGCGCGTTGTTCCAAGAGACGAGAAGAAGTTTCGTCGCTTTTGAAATAAAACTGAGGAAATCCCCTTTCTGCCTAGGCCAGTTCTTTTTCTACGAGTTACAGGAAAGCTTGTACCTATTTACCAAGATTTTACAGATTACATATATTTACACGCACCGAAATCACGCATCTAATCTTCTATCCTTCAGTTCTTTTTCTTTCTTCTTTTTTTTTTTTCTTTTTTGTACGTTTCTACTTGAGATCAATGTGCGAATAAACGTATTTTACTTTCTTGACAATCTGAATGTGAGTTCCTTGCCTTCTACGGTCAGACGGTCGCCTTTGACCGTAACTTCGATCTTCCGATCGAACGTCGATAAATTTGCTTCTTCCGCTTTCCGATTTTGTCGGGTCGAGACTCAAGTCTCGCCACTGAAAGAGAGAACTGCCTCTCTCGGAGCCTCGGGAGCGTAGCAACAGCGAGATCCCGAGGCTCGATCGTTCGACCGATCGATCGGTCACGCGGCCGCGTGATCGAAGAACAATCCGACCGTTGTAAAACGGATGGTAAACGGTTTGTCGTTTGATTTCAGTCGAAACTGAACTGCGAAGTTCTGGAGGACAGGCTGGCATTCGAGGTGCGGTGGGCCGTGGCCGGAGACAGCATAGTCGCCCAACTCGTTGGAAAACTTGGTGAGTATATATTTCCGAGCTGTCCGCGCGCACGTCTCACAAAAGGACAAAACTTCCATCGCATTTATTGAAAGCCGCGTGAATTTATACCTGCCGCCGGCCGAAGATCCGGCTCCAACTTTTAATTAACAATACTTCGGCCACCGGCGTCGTCGCCATCGCATCCACCACCGTCAGTTCCGTTTCAACGCAGAATAATTCAACACTTGTTTCAGTTTTGCAGCGCGGTTTCGTCTCGTTGATAAAAAAAACACGGCACGCCAGACACACGCATACGTTTGATGTCCGTACGTTGCACGAACGAGGTCATTAAAGTATAATTTTCCTTTCTATTTGCACGGCACCGATCGTCCACCCCATTTGCCCCCCTTTGTCAAATCTAATCGCTCCTGCGAGAGAAAAACGGGCCACGAAAAATTACGTTTCACACTCTGATTAACACGCTTGGCCGCGGTTTAAACCATTAGGTGAAGTGACGAAGATCTTCCTGTTCAGTCCTTTGGCAATTGAGTGTCGTAACAGCGGAAATTTCAAATACTAGAATATGTATTTGTATATGTGAATAATATATAAAATATTTAATATATATATATATTATAGTACATTAGTATTTAATACTAATATAAAACTACTTAGTATTATTATTTAATTAATTAATATTACTATTAGTAATTATATTAATATTACTAATAATATTACTATTTAACTAATTAGTTAATTTAGTATTACTATTTCAATACTAATATAAAACTAATATAAAACTATTTAATTAATTAATATTACTATTAGTATTTATATTACTATTTAATTAATTAATATTACTATTAGTAATTATATTAATATTACTAATAGTATTGCTATTTAACTAATTAGTTAATTTAGTATTATTATTTTAATACTAAGATAAAACTATTTAATATTACTATTTAATTAATATTACTATTAGTAATTATATTAATATTACTAATAATATTACTATTTAACTAATTAGTTAATTTAGTATTACTATTTTAATACTAACATAAAACTATTTAGTATTAAAATAATTTAATTTATATTAGTATTTAATATTAGTATATGTACTATAATACAGATTAATTGGTTGATTAATAGACTAAATACAGTACTCGTTATGACTAAATATAACAGGACGTACAATTCCGTGAAATTCAAAGAAAAAAATTGTTACATATCCTCCTGTAACATGTTACACATCATATTATATCTATTCATCACGTTCAATCATTCTTTCTTTAACACATTCACATGTACGAAGTTGACCCACAAATCAAAATTGAATCCTAGATGCAAAATGACTGGTAACTTTAATATCTTTGACATCGTAGAAAGTATTATATTTTTATTTATATAAGTTATTATTGTTATATTATATATAATATATAATTATTAAATTATTAATATATTATATATATTATGTTTTATATAAGTTATTATTATCATAATATTATATATAATATATAATTATTAAATTATTAATATATTATATTAATATAATATATTATGTTATATAAGTTATTATTATCATAATATTATATATAATATATAATTATTAAATTATTAATATATTATATTAATATAATATATTATGTTATATAAGTTATTATTATCATAATATTATATATAATATATAATTATTAAATTATTAATATATTATATTAATATAATATATTATGTTATATAAGTTATTATTATCATATTATATTACGTAACTTATATATTTTCATTTATAAGTATTATACCTTTGTAAGTATTATAGCATACCTGTAAGTAGTATACCTTTATAAATATTATACCTTTGAAATTTCCCATAAATTCGCGAAAATTCGCAGATTTCAATAAACTAAATTAAATAACAGATATATTCGTTTCGAAGAACACGGGTTTTCGCTGTAATTGCACGCGTGTATCGTGTCTCACAGAGGACGGGCAATACATGGCATTCGGATTATCGGCGAACCCCGAAAGAAGCTTAATGGTCGGCGGGGACGTGGTGGTCGCCTGGGTCGATAAACAAACCCTTCAAGGCTACGCGGTCGACTACTATCTGGACGCGAAGTCTCAGTGCTCCGGGGGACGAGGCAGCTGTCCCGACACCCGCATACAGGTTCGTATCTCAGCTTCAACGTGTCTCCTAATCACCCGTCGCTATTGTCGCCTGCTGGCTGTTAGAACGTTCGAACGTCGCGCGCTGTCGTCGGTTCACATTGAATTTCCTATCCGGGCGAATTGCCACTTTCGCAGGAGAACACGAATTCTATTCGATTGTTGAACGCGGCGCTGGTGGACGGATATAGCATTGTCACGTACCAGAGACCGCTGAAGACCAACGACGAACTGGACCATCAAATTCTGACGAACGGATCGCAGGCGATCATCTGGGCCATCGGCCCGCTGAACGAGAGGCAAGAGGTCAGCTTTCACTCCGACTATCTGAAAACCGACCGCCTCATCGATTTCGGTAGACCGCCGGTTTGGAATTGTCCCGTTCCGGACCACGAGCATTCTCAGATTTTCGCCGACAACGGCAACGATAACAAGGCCGCCGACAATCAGGTATTTCATCACGTATGGCCTCGACAGGGTATGGTTGTTCGAGTTCGGCCGTGCGGTTTCACGCATCTTGAAATTCTGTTTCAAAACTTTACATGGGACGAGACACGTAACTTTGAACCTCGTTGGATAGTACGCGCGTTGCAACGTAGTATGTTTTACCTGAAATTGCAACATTTTCTCAGTTTTAACTATGTTTAAACGTAATCCAGGCAAAACGATAAGGAACAGAGAGCGACGAATTGTTGTTATACGGTGCGGGTCACTCGTTATGGTCCGCGAACCAGTTGCCAGCGCAAAGGGGTTAACAAGTTTTTTCTTTTTTTTAAAACAAAGCTTTGACAAATGACCACGTTTTACAAAATAGCAGCTAGTTGCAACTACGAGAAGACCTCAGCGTCTAGCGACGCCGGCACCGGCGCCTAAAACCGATGCCTGGGAAATTCCGCCTATTCAATGTTACGAGCCCGAGGACGGAGTGTTGTACGCTCAGATGGGACCTACTGGAGGGAAACACGGCTATCCAGCCATCACCGGTAGGAAACGCGACATTAACGAACATGTTACTGTACATGTACTACGACAATGTGAAAAAAAGAGAAAAGAAGAAAAGAAACTCGATCGTGTAGATTGCAAGCGCAAATGAAACGAGACGTGAATAAGTTGGTATTTAGTTTGAATTGTAATAATTAATTTAACCTGTACAATTCGTTTTGCTCAGGCCACGTTGGTTGGGGAATCTCGTGGTACATAAATGGTCTGTTAATTCCGGAGATCAACGTCGTTCGCGGAAGGAAATACAGTTTCGTGGTGGAAGGCGGGGAAAATCCTGACACTCCGGCTCGTTATCATCCCTTCTACATTACCGATGACCCCGTCGGTGGATACCAGCACAAGACACCCGAGGAGAAAGCCGTAAGCCAACCTTTCACTTCTCGCTTTCGCGAAAAATTGACAAGGTTGAAGAAACTGAAAAGAGTGCTCTCTTTCCTGGCAAGCAGAAAGTGAAAATATTCGCGGGTGCTCAACGACAGCGCGGAGTGTATCGACCAACGGGAGTTGGACGTCTGTGCAACTGGGTGCCAGATCAAGATCAGCCCCTGGCGGACGAGTTCTCGTCGTTTGGCGCTTATCAACGCACGCTGACTCTCGAGTGTGATCACGGTGTGCCTGGTGTCGTGGAATGGACTCCAGACGAGAACACGCCCGACACCGTGTACTATCAAGTAAGTGGAGAATTACGTCGGACCTCCGCCTCTTGCACAATAATTTAATTTAGCTAATTGTATCAGCGAATTGACGACAATTGCGTAATTTGTATAAGTGTCTTCTCTCTGTAACTTGTGACTCTGAAAGAAAAAAAAAAAATTGTCGTAAAATAAATTTTCTCTCGAAAAACGAAAACAGAGAAGGCGACACTCATTACGATTGTTCAGTGTTTCACGCATCGCTACCTGGGATGGAAGATAAACGTTCACGACAGCTGCGACGCTGGCGAAGCTGCCGGCAGCGAGAACTACGAGGTCTACGCGGAGCCGAACGGTCAACGACCGGCGAGCGAGGACCTGGAGAACAGTCCGAGCATACGCGTGTCAAGCAAGGTAACGCCAACGGCCGAGTTTCTCCAGCAGACTCAACATCCCTATGGTGAACACGGGCTTCGTTACTCTTATCATCCAGCGACTAACCCTGACAAGCTAAGCACATCATACACGCAGTTACTAACGACCGCTAACAACGACGATTACGTCCGCTTGAAATCATCGCCGACGTACGAGGAGCCGATCACCTCGAGACCGTCGTACAGCACGCCCGACCACGATGCCGCGCCGCATCGTCACGAGGTACGCGTGAAGGAAACGCATCACGTGCACCTCGACGAGGATCTCGTGCAGCAGCATCGCAATCATCATCATCATCATCATCATCATCATCACCACCAGCTCGCACCGCCGATCTATCGCGAACAATCGGCTGGAGTCAGCAGGCTGACCTCCTCCTACCCTCCTGGCCGGCAGCAAATCGTCGAGATCCAGCCGGAACTCCTTCGACAACCCTCTAACCAGCAATTGTCTAACCTCGTTGCAGATAATCCACGACCACTGAGCCACGGGATGAAATACACTTATCCACCTACCGCAAGTCCACAGATCCTATACGCCAGGCCGGTGCCTCAACATTACGCGTCCAATTACCATCACCTTTATCACCTGCCCCTTCCCCATCACTATCATCAGCCGGACCAGAGGACCCAACTGATGATCATCAAGAGACCGGTGTTGACACGTCGACCGATGTTGCAGACCGTGCACACGATGTTGCCCCAGCCCACCCTCCCCCTGCCATCGAGATCGGTGTTCATGGAACGAAAAAAGGCCGTTTACAGGCCACTTTCGTCCTCGTCCGTCTACGGGAAAAGAACGGCGGAGAGACACGCCCAAGGGAACGACAACCACCAGGTGGTCAAGCTGAAGAAACTCGATTCGAAGCAACGAGCCAAGCTAGAGACCAAAGTGTCGAGCCTGGACATACCCAATATCTTCGTCACTTCCTTAAAGCCCGCGAGAAATACGGGATTTGACCCGGACTCGATAGTGATCGAGAGTGGCTTCAAACCGATCATAAGAAACACAGAGACGCCGACAGACGTGGCTCAGAAGAGATCGTCCGAGAAACTGGAGCAAGATGATGACGTTCGCCTTCGGGAGACTTCGAACCATAAACCGGCCGATAACTTCGAGCCGGTTTTCATACCATCGCCGCCAGTTCCGACAGTCGCGACCATGAAAAAATCGAAGAAAAAGTCTGTCAATGGTAAAACGCGTCCCGGTGACGCGGACGACATGGAGATGGCTGCCGACAGAGTGAATGCTTATTACTTGCCGCCGCTTTCCAGCCAATTCCCCAACGACTCGCCACCCTCGCCCTCGCCCTCGTCCGAACTGCTGATTACCTTCGATGGAAAAGCGTTGAAAGACTCGAGTTTGGTCAGATCGATTTCTGGAATCGAGGAACACTCGAGAAGCAAACTGTCCTCCGACATTCTGAGTAGAACGCCACAGTTTGGCAGATTCAAGGGTGAACTGCCGCCTCCGATTCCCGGGGAAGTTCGAACGGATCGTTCGCAGCTCGAGAAACGTCGTCTCCCGCCGGCGGATTTGCCGGAGATCAGAACGAGGAACACGAAGCTGACGCTCGTCGAAAGATCGAAGAGGTCCCCGCACGAAGGACACGTACACGTTACAGATTCTCGAACGAACGACACGAGCCACCACCACGAGCATCACGATCGTGGAAAATCCATGTCTATGCCCGTCAACGCCGGTCAAACGATCGTGGCTAATTTAGTGTACGCGCTTTTGGCCGTAGTGGTTTGTCACGTTATTTGATAAAGCTGCTCTCCGAATGCGTAACCCGAGTGCTGGAAGCTAATTGGAAACGGAACAAAAGAACGTTAGTTACTTGTAAACCACATACTTGGAATTGATTAGTCGACTGAATCACGATTGACACGTGCGCATTCTTTCGATGAAGACATAATATACACGAATGCACGTGATGTACACGTGACTTTGCTGATGTAGACGATGTAATCGACATGATAACACGGGAGAGGAATATAACTAACCACGGAATAATGATTTTTCTTTTCTTTTTTTTTTTTTTTTTATTTATTTACCTATTTATTAATGAATTATTGTCCCTTATTGTACGAGATAGAACGTTCTAACCATTTGTTGCAGTACCAAATCATCTGTACGTCGGTTGTCGAACAAATTAGACGACAGCTAATACTGTTCGCCAGATCTCCAATTTTTCTTTTTTTTTGTTTTTGTTTAGCGAGAACTTCATACACTTGAATTTATTCAAAGCAAAAGCAAGACACTTGTTTAACTTTATGAGGTGCAAGAAGGAATGATAAATGGATTTTTTATTATTCTACGTGCTATGACGACGGTTTGTTGAATCTTAAGGTATACTATATATTTGTACATAAGTTAAATTAATTGTTAATAAAGAGATTGTATAAGGTTCTCTCAAGCCTCTCGATTTTAATTAATCAGATTCCATACGATTTCAAGGCAACAACAGAAGAACTGACTCAATCGACAATCTCGTCCAGCCTTCGCGTTCGCGAAGGATATTCCTTTTTTCAACGACAGGAAACACGATTCAGACCGACAACGGACATTAAGCAATATTTTATTGTATAGAAAAAGAAAACAAACAAATCTTACAAAACAATCAGCACACTATCTACTGTACACGATTGTATAGTTATAATATAAAGAGCGTACAGACGGCGAAACGGCCGCTAATTATTTCTGAAACAATTCGTCGACTGAAACGTGATAAGCAGAGATACAGCGTTCCCCCGTAAACGTTAATTGTTTCCAATGAAATGGAAAACTACGAGCGAATCTGTATCTGCACACGCAATCGACATATCGTTAAAAATCCCCTTTTAAGTAACCATTGATGGCACGCGACGCGACTGACCTGTTTTTTGTTTTTTTTTTTCTTTTTTTCTTTTTTACGTTACAGTTCGCAAAACTCGTATCGAATGAAATTAAGCAGCGAATAATTTCCAACGTTCCGTCACGTCGAAATTATCACGACGTACTCGTTTCAAATTGTCCCTTATTGTTATCATATCATCATATTTTTCAACTTTTTCTTTTCTCTTTTTGTTTTTAAGCAGATTAAAACTTTCCCGTAGAAATATCAGTATCACTATGAATATATCGAAACTCGCACGAAAAGTGACCGTTTCCACAATTGACGAACTTTCGCGATTTCGAACATATACAAACAGCTTCCTGTCAAACGCCGTTTGAGTGACTCGCTTTTACCCTAAAAGTAGCTAGCACACCACTTTCCAACGTAAACATCATCGTATCTGCTATTACATCTATATCGATAACATATATCTATGATTGACGATATATTTACATATGTTACACGATTTCTTTCCTACTTAACGATACGAGTTTTTAAGATGTTCCAATGGAACATTGAGTGTCCGCGACGGAAGCGACATCCATTTTCAATTCTACGATCGGATGTGCTTCAACTCCGCGTACACGGTGTTTACGTCGCAAAATCGAAATACATGGTCAAGTGAACTATCAAACAAAACGAAAAGTGTTTCTTACAAAAATATCTAGCTAACAAGAAACGCGTCACGTGCAAATTCACTTGTTTAAAAATAAATTCAGACCATATAGAAATTTATTTGGGATTTATCCGAGTAAAACGTTGTATATATTAATTCGTGACGATTTAGGAAATTTTGTGAAATTAAATTCTATCGTGTGAAAGACTTGTGTTCGTCATATCCTTCATAAAATTAAAATATTGCACGAAACCAATACTTCTTCGGCATAATATTTAACAATAACTTTTTACAAGTTGCTTCATCTACAAAAGGATAATTTGTATCATACGATACGTCCCTTTACACTTATATAACAATTTTTGTAAAAATGTTTCTTTAGACAGATCCAATATCTTGCGAGATATTTCAATTTTGCGAGGTAAAGGGAACGACCTATGTATTTATATAATCGCAGAGATTTGACTCGTTTGAATAAATACAAACATTTGTTCGTTACTTTTATTCATATTGTTTGCGTTTACTTTGAGCCTATGAGCAACGTCGTTCTCTTCTTTATTACATGACCCGACATGAAAATTGATTGAATTGTTTCGCTAATTTTAAAGAATTAAATTTCACGCCGACGGCGCGCTTTTCGTTTCGATAACAGTCGCGAGAAGGCCTCGTTTCTCTCGGTGAGCTGCAACACGAGCTTTGATACACTGAATAATCACATCTCATGATTGGCTGAAATTTCAAACCACTTATCACTAATCAAGCGATACAAGCAGCTAAGAAATGTAATACTAACGACAACGCCAATGATACGTGTTTCAGCGAGGTTAAATTTTCTCGTATAATAATTTCATTCTATGGTATTTCTTACATTCTAACTGATCGCTATTGCAAATGGTTCGCCATAACCATCCGTACGATCATTGCCAAACGAAACAGAAAGATGCGAAATCGGTTATGTGTATATTTTGATCCCAATGCTGCAAACGATAAAAAAAAAAATCGTTATTCTACAAAAGAATGTTACGTCCATTTTCCAACTGATGGAATGTTTTCCGCACTTTTGCTTCATACGTTTTCTTACGGAGATACAAGATGAAAAAAGTACTCTGCCACGAGCTTATCGAAACATTTCGATGAAAACATATATTTATCGTTAGTAAAAAATACTACGCTCCCACAATCAGTTTTCTACTAGACTGTGTAAGATAAATCGATCAACTTCATTATTAACGATACTTAAAACAAACGTCATGACTGTTTCCTGTTTAAATCACTAGGGGAAGGATACAATTACATATAAAATAACTTACACGTTTGATTACGTGTTTATCGCGTTTACGAGTTAAAAAAAAAAGAAAAATCGGCACGTGATACATGATGATTCGATGCAAATAATTAGCTTAATACAAAAACATCGGATTCTCGGCGAATCATATTTGCTAAAAAAAAAAAAAAAAAAAAAAAAAAAAACGGTAAAATCTATCAAAAATTGTATATCTAAAAGAATTCCGAACTGCGCGCTACACCGACCTTACTAAAAGGAGAATCAAACCGAAGGATGAGAGTAAAAACGAAAATGTGTCGGCAAGTAATATTTATATATCTCGTCGACGTTCCCTTAGCAAGCAAACTTTATACAGTTGTTAAAAAGTTGAAATTAATTTTACTAAACCACCGGCTGGTGCCAAACAATTTTCCCGCTGAGGCAACCCGACACCAACAGACAATGCCTTGGTGAGAATTTTGTACTGACTACGATGCCAGAATGACTAGTGTTTATCGCTAATTCGTGCAACCGTACGGACTCGTTGTAGGGAGGAACACAGTTAGATAATTCCGAACAGTCATTGGAAAATGCCAACAGTCGTACTCCGTAGCCAAACGGTGAACATATTAGGCGACCATCGGCAGAGAAACACAATTCTTTTATGTAACCGGAACCAACGTTTGGTTCCTCTATGTAATGCGTTAACCTAGGTGTATTTTGATGAATCATACGATTCCTCGGAATAGCATACATCGTCTGTTGGCCTTGTCTATTGCGATTCTGAACTCTGATTCTATCGCCGATAATGACAACGGTGTTGTTGCTCGATCTAGAGAGCCAATCTCTCTCCCTTCTAAGCCTAGCCTCCCTTATCGCTACGTGTGCTTCCCACACGTCGGTTGTACTTACATGTAACTCTATATTGCCGGTAGGAAAGTTTTCAATCATGTTGCGCGGTCTTAGGTAGTTAAGATGAGAATTTGGCCTCGGTGACCTGTAATCCTGCCCAGACTCCCTCTCTTGATCGCCAGAGCCTTCCTCTAATATGCTCTCGTCGGCCGCGTAAATGTCAGCAGCGTATATGTATCTGTCATCTCTGTCCGCACTCACGCGAGAATCAGACGAGCTCGAACTAGAACTAACCTCTATCGCGCCGAAGTTCGCTCTGGTCGCGTTCCTATCTAAACGCGAGTTTCTCGATTGCGACCGCGATGCTCTACGAGATGCCGATTGCCAGTTATTTCTCGAGGATCTAACCGGTTGCGCGTTCTCCGAGAATCCAGCCGCGTTTGCTCTCGAATCGGATGTGGTGGTGTGAACTACTCTGACACGATTGTTTGGACTTTCTACTAAAAATGATGATGTTATACCCGAACGGGAGGGCTGAGGTTGTTGAAAATCTTCCAACTCTTCTACCGGAATTTCGTTGAACTGCGGCGCCGTTTCCTCCCCTTCTTTCGTTTGATCTGCTGTACTGGATACGTCGCGTTCTTGTATATCGTGAATACAAGTCCACTGAAACACACGGCCATTGAAAAGTACAACAAGAGTGCAAGTAACCAAAATGAATGGTGTAAACTTCTTAATGCCAACCTCAGACTTTTCCCCGTTACTGACATTTCTGGACAAAGCACACCATCCCTGAGGGTGCACTTGCAAACTCGATATTATCTCGGCATCATCGCCAACGGGGAAATCAGTCAAAAATTCTACTCGATTATGCGTACGAGAATGGGAAAAGAGATGTGTGAAAGTTGCTACGTTTGGTATCGTGGTTTGAGATGACTGCATCAATCGATACATATTCGGCTAAAATAAAATTGTTATTATTACATAAACTGTATTAAATAAGATGCACAGTATGAAGACGTCAAAAATAAAACGCACTCTAAATCCTGCCAAGTCTTGAGTCAAGGTGCTTAACTTAAGGTTATGTATAATGATGAGGTATCCAGAAGTGGTGCTTATTAACATTTTACTGGCATCTGGACTAAGTCTAGTTCGCATCAGTCCGTTTGTATGGAACACACGTGTATAAAGAATACTATTCTCTGTGAAACTATTAATATCCCAAGTGTATATACTACCATCGAAACCACTCGTAAGTAATAAACTATCTTTGGGGCTGTACTCTATATTTTTCACCCAATTAGAATGACCTTGGAGGGTTCTTATTCTATTCTTTAAGTTTCTAGCATCCCAAAGAGCCACTGTGCTATCGTCTGAACACGTTGCAAACATACGTTGGTCCAAAAACCTATTGCAACAACAATTGAACAAATTACTATTGTATTGCGTTACAATAATATTTGAGAAAACAAAATTTGTACATACCTGACACAATTAACGCAATCATTATGAGCATTATCGATTGCATGAATTAGACTTCTCCTTAGAGGGTCAAACATTAAAATACTTTTCTTTTCACATGCTGCCAGCAAAAGAGAGCTGTCATATAAGAAAAAATATAGTATCATTGTTACAGATAATATCTTCAATACAATTGAAAAATCTTCAACATATGTGTATTTACCCGTCAGGAGAATATTCAAGATTGAAAACTCCACCATGGGCAGCAGCTGCAGATAATGCATGATCCCAAGAAGTTACTGGTTGTATAGAGGAGTAAAGGGTTTTGTGGAAATGATCAACATGTCCTAAAGGGAACTTTATACCCAATTCGCGTTGCCTTAACCAGAGGCTATTTGCTTGTCTGGTTCTTACTTTAGGCATTTCAGCCAGGTGTAAATTTTATCAGCATTCAACTAAATATATTTGACGACTGTGAAAAGATCTGGTTACTCCGTAAACACAATGTTTAGAAGCATGCTGTTCAAACCTACAACTTTCACAAATCCGTTTTGAATCTTTCTTCTATTATACAATACAAGTGATAGCTATTGATAGCGTCAGAAAAACGATCGATGGGAATTTTTGTTTTCCTCTCTGATGAAAGACACAACATTGACGTCGTTTTCCCGAAATTTTTGCAAGATTCAAAGGTAACCGTACAATACCGAGTGGAGCTATAGGTTAAGTGCGAGATGCCACTAGCGGGCAATGTTACACGTGACTCTTGACAGACGCCTCCTTGTATTTTTCAATTGACGATCTTCGACGAGGCCGAGAATGAAATAAATGACTGGGCAAAGTGTCACAATCACATGCAATGTCAGACTTCGATAGAACTTCAAGAAATTTTAAACACCTGACACAACACGAATCAACGCCATCTTTGCTTTGACATGCAACGTCGCGCGAGGATCGACGAACACTCGAGCGCGAGTCTCGAACAGGATTCTTCGATCGTCGCAAAAGTCTAACAGGTAAACTAAACGGACAGAAACTACGTTTCAGTCGAAAGTCTATATTTCTTAACCTCCTACGACACAAAGATCATACCAAATTAGTAGGCTGTTCGATTGTAAAAACCTAAAGTTGACATCTATTATTAGAAAACCGGTCGTACAACAAGTGTTAATATGGCATCGGGCTGCAGTAATTAATGGACAAATAGCAGTAATTTATACTGAAACGTTCCGTTTACATTTGGTTATTCTTCCAGTGTTTTAACAACAATACGTGCAAATTTATATATATATATATATATATATATATAATCGGAACCGTATGTACATTTACACAACATGAAAATAATATAACAATCGAGAAATGTATAATCGTTTTACATATTGTGTCATTCTTCGTCATATGACATTGCTTCCTTGTCGAAAACGAGGCCACTTCCGCCTGAGTGTCTCTCGGTCCATTCGTCAAATCTTTGAGACAACTCCTCGGACATGTAGTTTCTCCAGTCACCGATTTTGCCCTTTCTTATAAATTTGTCGTTCTCAGGCACGTCCTTCTGCGGCACGATCAACTCCATATTTATGGCGGGATTGGCTGCCATCTTTGAAAACTGCAAGTGCTCGCTAAGGTCAGCAATTTGTTTCTCCGTCGGAGTTTTCCCCAGAAATTTTGCTGTCCTTCTAATCGTTTCGCTTTGATCCTGGAAAATCGTCAATCGATACATGTTCTAAGACAGAAATACATGAAATGCAGTACTCGTTGTAATAGACAAAACAAATTTCTGTCTAAGCTCCAAGATACGCAGTCCAGTTTTAAATGTTCTGTTTTAATATTATATTACCTTTTTCATCTCTTCGTACGTTAAAAATAACACATTCTCTTGTTCTCTTATTGCCCAGAATTTCAAAACGTGATTCCAAAACGGTGCCATTGGTACTTGAATTGAAAATAATGTCCGGCCTTAACGAACGCAATGGAGGTGAGGCACCGCGAAGGACAAACTCATCGAGCCAGGGTAAGCAATTTTATAATTTCTAATTTCTCGACGGCAGGGTTCTCCCGTGACCATATGTCCTTCATTACCTTTTGTATCTTCTATCGTAGTAGTCATACCGAACTACCAATTCCAAGGCTCGGTAAGAACGAGAGATACAAAAAATAAATTCATCGAGCCAAGAATAAAACTTTCGTATTCACTATTTTTTCTCCGCGACAGGGATTTCCCTTGACCGTACTTCATATTTTCTTTTCTTATTTTTTATTTCATTGTTGTAGTCATGCCCGACTCTCAATTCTAAGGCTCTAAAAAAATGTCTTTACCTTTTTTTACGAGTTCGTTTACGACGGAGACGATTGTGATGAAAAAACTTACCGAACTTTGGAATTAGTCCGGTATGACTACAATAGAAGATACAAAAGGTAACGAAGGACATATGATCACAAAAGATCCCTGCCGTCGAGAAATTAGAAATTATAAAATTGCTTCCCTTCGCTCGATGAGTTTGTCCTTCGCGGTGCGAACCGCACCTCCAGTGTCTTCGGTAAGGCCGAACAATAATAATTTTTAATAATTATATACAATAATAGAATTTTGTAATAATAAATATATAGATCGGTACATACTGTTGTCTTTTAAAAACAATGCAGCAAATTCTTCGAAACTTCCTACTATATTGTGAAATTTTTTACAGTAATGATAAAAGCTGACACAGGTGTCCTTTGGATTTCTGGTAACATAGACTATCTGAAACAGCCAATTTTGCTTCTTCATGAAACACATTTCCGGTATTTGATTACAATGCAATACACTGTAAGAAACTTAAATACTTTTGGTCTCTTTTGATGGATTTGCTGCGGTAACAAGTCGAGAGGGAGGTGAGACTTTATGTATCTGGGTCGTTTCATCTTCGTGATATTTTCAACAGAATCGCCCATCTTCGCAAACCATTCCGCACAGTCTCCCGTGACCATCAATGACGAAGCTCTGAACAAATAAAATTCGCTTATATAATCCGAATTGTACGGAAGTCTTCTGATAAAAGATTTAATTGGTCCACTTTGATACTTACTCGAGCAACGGATTACGTAAGACAAATAAAGTCTCCGCATTTTTGTAGTCGAAGTTGTTTCCGATACACCACACCATTTCCTGTGCCCAGTGGCTACCTGTAACGCATTCAAAAAGAACTCTAGAAATCCAAATTACTATGTAGATATCAAACGTAAAGTAGATTTTTATCGAATTTTACCAGTTCGTGGATACGAAACCATCCATACATCATCGTCGTAGACCTCCATATCCCTGATCTTTGTACCGTGAAAAACAAATTGGGGTGGTAATAAACAATTGCCTGGTTCCACTCTTAGGAAACTAGGTTTCACGCCGTACATCTTGTCCAATTTTTCTCCCACATCTCCTTCGACCGTGGTGAAATTCAAAGGTTTTTTATTGTCCACTGCGAAAATTTACTTGATATAATGACATAACAATATTCCACATGTCGACATAACGACAAAATCACGCATTCTTTTCAAATTTATAGGAATGAACAACTTACTTGGTGTAGAATTTCGTTAGAAGAAATTCGGATGCTGTACAGGATCAGAGATGTTACTTCTCTTACGGTTTGAAATGAAATGAGAACATTCATTATTGGTATCTTCTCGGACCACTTGCAGACCAGTTTTCCCTTTCTTCCAGTTAAAACAACTTTCGATTCCCAGCCACTTCCGCACACGATATACGTATATATAAGATCGTAAATACTGCTGGATATTTATTACAGGTAAATCGACGAAAAATAAATTGTTTTATTGTCGAACCTTAATTTATTATTAGTTTCTCAAAGAAACTGCCTCGTGTCATTTTTTACGTTGATAATTTTATATTTCAAACAGAAACTGACATAAATTTTATTTCATTCAAAGTGATTTAATTATTATAAAAATATAAAGTAGTTTTATAACTATGTATTTTGTAGAATATTTATGTATTTATAATTATGTACTTCCACTAAGAGTCATTTAATCGGCACAGAAAATCGTTTTGATGTTATGTTAACTTTCTCATAACAGATTTCTCTTTAGAGAAAGTTACCATATTTGAATTAACTACAACTTCCAATTTCTAATATATGCCACCATTAAATCTTAAAATAGTAGTTAGATCTCGATGAATATGATTCTCAATCTTTCTCAATCATCTCAATAATTCATTCAATAAATTTAGAATAAACGAATTCATGAACGATGCCAAAATTGAATTTAATTTCGTTCGTGTATGCCAAAAATATACCACGTGATTCAAGTCACGTGATTTATTAGTGCGCAAAAATTATATGATTGAATATTGAAATTGAATTCATTTTTTCTTAAATATGATCTTGGATGTTCCTATTTGAATTTTATATCATTAGACTTAAAGGCGTATGTCTTTCATTCATGTTATTGTGTTTCATTTTCAAGAATAGTTGCGAATTCGAGAACAAAAATGCAAAGCTACCATAATATCATAGGCCCATAAAGTAATATTACTTTATTGTGATATATGGAGGTTTTTTGAAATTTTTCTTGCAAACACAACATACACATTCTAATGACTAACAAAACAAGTAATATAGATCTAAACTACCATTCTGTTAGCAGGAAATAAGTCCCAGGAACTACTAGAAACAAGATACAGAGAATAATAATAATTAAAAAAAGAAAAAAAACAATCTGGTCTTAACTCACCTGGCCAATTCGCTCGTTTACCATAGTACGATAGTAATCCTCGCGTGAGTATTCCCAAATAAACAACTGTTTATTTTCTCAATATAAGAAATTATAAAATATTTTCTTTTTTTATTCAAATAAAATTATTTACAAGAGGAAGGCTTGATAAAATTAAAATATTATTTATTATAATATATTCACACACTCGGATACATTAATCTCTCTCTCTCTCTCTCTGATCTTGATTCATTTCAACTTAGGAACCAAACATTTGCTTGTATGATGAAATTCTTTGTTTTAAATTTATTTGCTAGAATCAGTCAACTTATACTTGTGTAATAAAAAGGTACGATTAATCTTAATAGCTTATATCTATGTTTATAACAAACGAAAAAACACAGCCGCTATTCCTGCAAGTAACGATAATTGTTGAGTAACAGCGATGCTCTTCGAGTAAGCATCCATTATGTGTATCTTCCACCCCATATTTGCGTGGGTAAATGAATTGTAATAAACAATATCTGGCCAGGTGGAATTTGGCGTAACTTCTAAAACACCGCCCTCACCTGGAAAAAAAGACGACAGCAATTGAACATTCATTTATGAGAGAAGAAAAGACTAGAAATTTTATAGATTTTCTTACCTGGCTCGCACACGCTCACTAATGTTCTATTGAATTGTTTGAACGTCATGAAATCATCATCTAGTCTTCTATCTCGTGTACCATGTTTGCTTAAACAAAGTGGACCAACTGAGGGAAAAAAATTGCTATTCATTATATATATATTTTTTTTAATAATTTCAATCATATTCAAGCTTTTGGCTTGAGAAAAATATTCATTTCTCAATTTCCTCATTTCATCTAACACGGTTTACACAGAGCTTTTTGTAAAAATGTTTATTTAATTTTAGCTTTTTATATCTAAAGCTCCTTTACGTAAGGTATGGTATGCACTAGCTTTTTTTCTTACACGGACTTTTCAGGATTAATTTATCGCGTTAAAAACAAGACAACATATACCTGCTGTTGGTCTCGGTTGTCCTCTTCTGGTGAATTCAACCCCGGCTAAAACTCTAATTGTACTTTGTGCTGCATCGCTGAGTTTATCGTATCCACCGTGTGGTTCGTTAGTTATAATTAATGGATGGTACAGATTGGGGCTATGAGGATTATTTCCGCCGTGAATACGGAAATTGTAAGTCAATCCTCGACGCAGGTATAGTTCAGGCACCAATTGGCCCTCGATGTACCATGCTAAACCTGTAGACGTTTGTCCTATGAAATATACAAATTAATATATATCCTTGAAATTTCTGTTAAACTTCCAAATTGTCATCAAACTTTAAATCAAACCTGTAATTCCTTGATAGCCCTTTTTGCCTCCAGATGGGCCGATGGTGGCTCTGAACGTCCGAATACTTCTATCAAATATTTCTGTCTTCTCCCAAGGTTCTCTGACGAAATGAAATTCCTAATTAATGTCATTTGCACAGTTGTGAATGATCTCAATCTATCGCTTACATCAGCCTCTCATTATTTTCAGTAAAATCCATACAGGTGTTCTCTGGTTCTTCGGGAGCTAACTCCAACTTCAAATCGCTCTTGGGATATACATCATGGAAAGTTGGCTCTTTGTTTTCATCCAATCTTCCCAAGGCCCATATCACGTAAACTGGTCTGTCTGTAGGATACTCTTTGTCTCCTGGATCGGCTACGACATAGATATATTCTATATAATTCCACTTCGCTCCTTTCTCTTCTCTTTTATTTGCACGCAGTGACTTACACGAGTTGAGGGTACGTCTGTAAGTAACAATACTAATCCCATCCTCTCTGACCGCAGTATATAATTGATTATTATCCAAGGCACCGACTAGTTCATCTCTGCAGACTCCCTTGTATTGGCCAAGGACTTTTCCACACTGTTTATAAAATAAAAAAATGTATTGGATAGAAACTTCATGATGATAGATAATATTCTTTATATTTACGTACTGGAGCTTTCGCGGTAATGTTATAATCTATCGCGTAGCCTTTAGTACCGTCCACGTAAGCAATCACCGCATCCGCACCTTCCATCTGGCTAGAAGTTTCGGAACCAGAGAGACCAAACGCCATAAATTCATCTTCACCTAAAGATAATCAACTACTATAACTACAAGACAAATTTAAATGACTTTTATTTGAAATAAAGATAAGAATTATATAAATAGTATGTGTAGACGAATTAGCCTTAAATAGCATTGTATCTAAACTAGCACATAATTATCTTAAACATCTTATCCGATAATTGTTGTTTTTCAAATATTTTTATAACATCCAAATTCTGGGCATACAGGAAGGTCTAACAAACTTCTTCTATACTTACCAATTTGTCCTGTTAATTGGACAGTGATCTGTGGACCAAAAATTTCCCAGCCGACTTGAAATCGTTTGTGAAGTTGAATACAATTTGGCAGAGTCTGCATACGCTTGATCACCTGTACTTTGGTAAAACGATTAGTCTTCGTTCGAAGTTCTACCATGAATAAACGACAAGAAATTGAAAAAAGAATTGATTACTTTTACTAACGAAGGAGGCACGTTTAATCCATCTGGAATGATGACAGAGCCGTAACTAGTCTTGGTCTTCACATCAAATATGCTTAACCAATCAATGTTGAAAACTGTCATGTCTCCAGGTAGTTGAATGATCACATCTTCTTCTTTGTAAGTACGAATCGATTCCAGGCTGATGAAACATAAAAAAAAGAAAAAGAAAAAGAAAAAAGAATTAATTGAGATTGAAATTGAAGCTTGCAACGATCATGCATACTCACTAGCCATACTCGTCTGGCACTTTCGTTCCTTTGCTACTAGGTTGTGGGCCAAGTCCTACCCAGAAATACGTGTCTGTTCCTCGTTCCTCGTACGTGAATTCCGGTATTTTGATAGTTTTTGAATCCATGATCACAATGGGTCCCGAAGACACTCCGTGCGATCGTTTCGTTAGTTGAGAGATCTTCTGTGGTGCAGGTGGATCGAACTCGTCGGGGATGTACACGTCGCCAAACGTATTCTGGAAAAGATAAATTTCCACGGATTAACGTAATTAATTAAGTTAATTAATTTCTTACATTTAAACGGTACGTATAAATTTTTTTATTATTAATTCCTGAATATTTTCTAATGTTTTCGTTACAATTATCATACGATACCTGGCTTCCCAGATCGTACACAGCGAACCATTTTATATCAGTTATTCTCTTATTGTCCGGTAAGGTAAGAGTGAAATCCTTATTTAGGTATCGATCGAGAACATTTGTTCTGAAACGAAAGGGTACTTTTTTATGGTTTTGTGCTCCTCGCAAAATGTGTTTCGTGAACAAACTAAAACTGACTTGCCCCATTCATCAGGCACGATGAAACCTTGCGGGCCAGGTCGATTCGATGCGCCAGCCCAGAAGAAAGTATCGGCTCCGTTGCCATCGTAGCTGAAGGAAGTTAACAGCAACGTGTATTCGTCAACCACGTAAACATCGCCAGCAACTTGATGATGATACGCGTTCAACTTGCCAAGGTATTTCCCTCTATATTCCTCGCGATCTGACTCGTCGACACCTGTTGATTTCATTCCATTGTGAATCACGTTAAGAGACCTCGACTCACGTAGAAGTTCTTTGTTCTGTGTCACCGTCGCGAGAGAAAACGGAGAAGGTAGTCAGAAAGTAGATCATTTTTGCAATTAGACACACAATACGCCCACCTGTCAGATATTTCTCACGTTTACGCATCGAATATTCAAAAAGTTGAAGATTATTTAATATCGAAACTAAAACCGAAAATTCTTAGAACTATCACAACCATGTTTGATCTAATTACGTATTTATTATTCGACTGCGGATTTTCGTGTACTATATCGTGAATAATTTAAAGACGCAATAATATACAGAATGCAATGTTCAATTCACTTTCTTTCTTTCTTTTTTTTTAAATTATTCGTAAAAATATAAATCCACGAATAAGCATTCTCTATTCTCGAGAATTTCAAGCATGAACCACAAACAAATATACATTTGACAAGCAGAGATTTCGACGCGTGGTCAAGGAACGTCATTCGTGTACTATTACCCACCGATCCATTGTCAAGGAGTATGTTTCCCTCGTATAATCGAGCATTTTGAGACACGTACCATAGACAGGGAGGAGCACGCATGTGAGAACCGTCGCAAGAACAGGCGTTATCCACCTCTTCATAACATTTGCCATCGCTTCATCTTCCTTGTGTCGCTGCGAATGCCTCAGGTCTTGTTCCTGATTCAATTTTAGTTCCGTTGCCTCTAAGATTCATGGAGAAACGCAGGCTTGGTCGCTAGCCAGACGGCGAAGCCTCGAGAAAGGAACGAAAGGCACGCAGTCACTGTAATGGACGCTGTTCCGACTTGTTCTGGCCACCGTCTTTAGAAAGTAGACTTGGAGCGTTCGAACGGTTAGTATATCCGCTCTCCAGCCACCTTGGCACGTGTTCCCGCCTCGGAGAGAAAGTATGCGTGTTTTGGAGGTGCCTCGAACGCGTTTCAATGTCTACAGGTCGGCTCACGGGTCCTCCCGATGTGTTGAAGTGGAAGGACAGTGTCATTGGACTCTTGTCTCTCCGGTTACCAAAAATGTAATGCACATGTCAGAGAATAGTAATCAATGAATGACCAAAGAACATCCTTATTTTCCAGACTTTTCTTTTTTGTAATTGAAGGTCCATTTATTGAAACAGAAATGTACTTATTAGATTGAAGAAGGATTTTATGGAGAGTGAACTGAAAAAGAATCACAAGTGAAATGTTGCATAAATGTTGACGTTGCGTTGATATGTAATATTGACTTTCAGTGGGCGTATGTTACGTTCAAATCAAACATAAATATATACATATACGAGTATGATATACACATGATGTTTGATCGATTTAGAGTTGGCGCTAAGCCAAGCATTATAAATAGCGTTTATTAGTAGTATTATAAATACGTTTAATAGTACCCAGATTTACAAACAGATACATTTTACTATTAGATGATGTTAAACACAAAATTGAAGTATGAAATAAATGGTAAGATAAACGATACTATTGTAACGACTCTTAATTATCCGTAATAACAGTCGACAATTCATAGATTCAGTCGAGGAGCAATTCATTTGGCTTCTCAGGTTCGCCACTGTCAGGAAGATCAAAGATTTTTTAACAAAAGTGTGAGTATGTACGTGCATATTTCGTGAATAATGATTAATAATTCTACGGCCACGGTTATAGCCTGTCGATAGATCTACATTATCCAACGCCAAATTTGAAAACGCCTATAACGGCAGCTATTGATCGCGGTGACCTGCAAATCCTGTCGTTTCTGTTAGAAAGAAATTCCACCGGTTTGGACAACGCTGTCACTCAACCTTGGGGTAGAACCGCTCTTATGTACGCCTCGTACGTCTCGAAAAACCCAGAACTGTTACAAGTTCTTTTGAAGAAGGGCGCCGACCTCCAAAAAGTGGACATGTAAGACAATCGACACATAACTGTTGCAAGCGCGTTTTCTATTTGACGAATTTTACACTTGTAGACGAGGCTGGAGTTGTCTTCAATACGCCATTGTAGGAGAACGACCGACGAATGTAAAATTCCTTTTAGATTCCGGCGTTTACATAAATCAGAAAGACGCGCAAGGTCGAACGCCGCTTATGATCTCAGGTGAGAAAATTCAGGAGAAAGGTTTGGGCCTGCGAATGAAAGTACACCTTTTGCACCTCTGAATCTCGCATAAAAGTACGCAATCTGTCGATTAAACGTTCATTCGGAATTATTTGTCCAGTGTATCGCTCGAATTTCCATATTCTTTCAATTTTATTGGACCATGGGGCTGACGTCAATGTACGAGACAATAGGAGTTTCACCGCTCTTCAAATAGCTATTTTCTGGAGAAAAAGGGACGCAGCGATTACGTTAATCGAAAGAGGAAGCGACGTGAGTGTCGTTACACCTATAACCAAGGCAACAATTGGTGAACTTTGTAGAACCAGTATGCCGAATATTCTTCGCTGTCTCGAGCCGAAAAGATATTATAGTGAAGCGTTACAGTAGATTACTTGTTTTTTATATCTATATTATTCGATATATCTTTCTATATATCTTTTCTATTCTCATAATATATTAATATAATTTTTAGAGGTTTACAAAATATATATAGATATATATAATTTTATTCAGAAAATAAGATTGTAGTCAGAAAACTTTTCTTCCGTCAACCTGTTGAATTCTTGGATCATGCTGTCGGACATTCTTTCTTTCCATTGGCCGATCTGACCACTCCGAATAAATGAACCTTCGATACTAAACGATTTCTTGCTCCGTATGATGGCTTGTTCGTAATTCACAGCCGGATTTACTTTCATATTGGCAAAGTTCAAATGTTCCGCCAATGTTTTTACTTGATCCTCGGACAAGGTTTTATCGAGAAACGCAGCTGATTTCTTTATCACCGCTGGCAAATCCTAAATTTTACAAACAGGATAGTCGAAGATACTTTCGAAGAGGCTGAAAACAATTTAAGTTACTTACAGCTTTCATATATTCGTATTTCAAAAACAGCAAGTTAAGATGTGCCTTTTGCTTCCAGAAATCGAGAATGTGGTCCCAATATGGGGTGTAATTCACTGCAAAAATAATAAATCGTATCGTAAAGCTACTATTATGAGTCAAGTATGATGAGGAAAGCATGACAAGTCTATTTTTGAAATGGTTAACATTGAATTTTAAGATTGCTTATCATGTTCTTCAATTATAGCAATATACGTTTGTTTCCCAAGAAAAGGCGGCAGAAGTCATCGAAATTGCCGCGATAACCTTCCAACAGTTGACAATGATGATAATAAGAGATGCAAGTGTCCTTTGGATTTCTGGCCACGTAAATGATTTTCGGTTTCTTCTCGCCAGTTCGTATCTGGCGCGGAAGCAAACAAAACGGTAAATGACATTTTATGAATCTCGGGGAAGGTTTATCTTTCACAAATCCCACGCTATTTACAACTGACTGGCTGAACTCTTTTTCTGGATGAGCTGCTTTGAGACTGTTGTAGTCGAAAAGTGCGGTGAACCTGATCGAATGCACAATTTGATATTTTCGGGGAAGAAAAAAAAAAAAAACATCAGACGCTTCGCTTTGTCTACTTACTCTAGAAAGGGGAATCTTTCGCTCAATGGTACTTTCGCTTCTTCAAAGTTCAAATTATTTGCGATGTTCCAGATCATTTCCTGGGTCCACGTAGTTCCTAGTTACGATCATTCGCATTAAAATGTCATTTTTGATATTTCCTTGCGATTTATTAAAATTGATGGGATTGTACCGGTCTTTGGGAAACTGCAAACCCAAATGTCGTCATCCTTGACTTCGAAGTTCTCGATTGTTTCAGCCAGATCTCTGTATCCCACTGGCATTGAAAAACCATTTACCGTTATGTATCCTTTACGAAATTCATTCGTAAATGTGTCCATCAAAATTTGATCCAAATCATCGGTTTTAATCTGAGTCGTCATTTTGTGACACTTGGCGTATCCTGCAAAAACCGTACTTTATTGAATAAACACAACTGATTTTCGTTCCGCACAGTTTCTTCGATGAAGCTGGAACTAAAATTCACTTGAATTCACTCAATTTTGTAATAACGCAAAAATCGATTTTGCAAACGTGAACAAACGTCTCGGCATTCGAGATGAAAATTAAATCAACTCAGAAAATATTGCAAATGAATACGTAAATGTAAATCTTATCTTATCAAGAAGAGATCAAACAAGATACGTTCCCGGTTTGAAAAGGAAGGTTGCCGCGAAATCCGTGGATATTCTTATATAGGATGACTAGGTAGTAATTAGAATAAACGAGCTAATATTGTTGAGAGGTTTTCGTTTCCGCGTTACTTTCCTAGAACAAGGTTACTGCCGATCTTACACGCCGTTTTTCTTTCAATTTTATTGTGCAAAAGTTGTTCCTCTCAAACGTTCAATTTTTTTATTGTGCGGACATAAACTGTCATATATAGAAGGAAACAAGTTACTTTTCCATCCAACCAAGGACATTTAATGAATGATACAAAAAAAAATATAATGTTAAAAAAGAAATGGCGTTGCACACGTATCGCTTGAAAAAGTGAGTTGCTTTTTTTAAAATTCACCATAGTACGTGTAAGGTACAAGGTTAAAATAAAGGAGGAGCTGTTCCTATATGGATTCGTTTTATTTTTATTAATCAAATGAGTATAATCATCATACAAAAAGGTAAAATATTGAAGGTAAAAATCCAAGGGACTATATTATTAAGTCTTACGAATAATAAAGGATTGTGTACTGTGTATTCAGGTACTAACAACTACTTTCATCATCTTAAAGCATTTTCCACCGAACGCTTCCTCGACGCAGCACGTTTTCACTCTCAAAAACATTTTACCAGTAAAATGTGAAACCTTACCGTCGTAAAGCTGTTTCACGAAAATGAAAATCATTATTGTATTATCATATCAGATGTAGCATACGTGCACCGTTTACTAAATAAAATAAAGCTCGGTTAAAGTCCAATAAAACCGAAAGATCTTATCGCAAATTTTGCAAAACAGATAGCAATTTCAATTCAAAAGTATTCCAAATCCTTCGACAAACGAAAAGAATAAATTTATCTTTTATTTACAATCATTGTATCAATTCATTTTCTTACGTTGTAACATTGAATTTTGATGGAACAACTGTATTAGAATTCAACCGAGCATCACATCGGTATACTTTTGATATGAAAATATATTGGCAAGACAAAGTTTCTTAAATTCATTGTTAAATATCATAAATTTGTAGGCACAAATTTGTAGAACAACGCATTATGATATTTTTAATTCTTAGATCTATAGCAAAAATTCCTGGATCATCTAGGTCACTACGTTATTGTTCTATTTCGTGTTACACACGAACGCGAAAGTAAACCTTACGCCACTTTAGACGTCCATGTGCAGCCTATAAAGTAAATGTTAACATTAGTTATATATTATGCATTATTGTAATGAAAAGTCAGATCCAAGAGAATTCTTGAAACAAAAATCTTTAATGAACCTTTCAGTTTGAAAGGCAAGATAGTTTGTACGTTTCTCTATTGTCTGTCCGATCATCAGACTGCTAATTGACATTTAAACTACGCACAGGGAAACATTTCTTTAACATTACATGTTGGATATAACGCTAACGCTTTGAGACAGATCTACTTGGCCCCTCAGTACCTTCTGCTGCAATTTCTTACAAAAGATTTTAGCCATGAGTTTGTTACGTCGTGCCTCTTCCTGTTTCTCCAGCTGTCGTCGCTTCTGTCGGACTTCGTTCAGACGAAAATACCGTTTGCGAAGTCTCTCCTTCATCTCTTCGGAGCTCATCTTTCTCTGTGTGTAAACTGAATACAACGGTTAAGAAATCGGTTTAAAATATAGATAAGATCAATAATTCTTTTAAATCCGTACCTGTTGGTTTACAAGAAGCTCTCGGTGATTTTATAACATTCGACGTGGTTGCCATCGCCAACAATTGTATTCTTTTTTCCTTTCGCAGTTGTCGCAGCTGACATATCTCCGACATGTATTGCCGGCGCGTTTCTGCATTATTTACAAAATCCGCCTTATTTCTAGACAAATAATCCTAAAATCGATAAGATACATCGTTGTATATATTGCGTTCCGAAGAAAATTCATGTATCATTGAGCATTTAGAAACGTACGAACGTATATAGCTGTTACCTACTTGCAAAGTACATTTTCGCGGAGAACTTCTCTTCGAGCTAACTTTTTTGATCATGTTGCAAACACAGCCATCCGTTTTCCCTTCATTCAATAATGGCACTTTTAGCAACGTACCCAGACCATTGTGTCTCTGGCCGTTCTCTTTCGCGAACGATAACTCGTACGCGATGGCTTTCGGATACGTTTGATAACAACTACATTTTTTGACGCTCTGATATGCTGCGCCGCAGCGACAACAGTATTTACAATTTGTATCGAAATCACTGGTTTGGTTCGCTTCGTCCACGTAATTTGGCTTGCCGCTGTTGCAGACTCTACCGTGCAACAATTCATCGCTATTTTTCGCTCGGTTACTACAGAAACAATCTTTCTCGCAGTCGCATTTCCCATTGCTTTGTACTTTGTACTGTGCAGTTTCGTTAACCTGCCCGTTAGTCACGCAATAAGGCCACGGTTGAGTCGGACAGTCTTCTGCTTCCCCGCGGAGGTAGCGGGTCCCGTTGCATTGAACTTTCCCATTTGGATGACAACTGCATAACCCTTTCGCTTTCTGAACATCCTGCTCGCGACTGTTCTCGCAGAAACAGTCGTTGGAACATCCGCACAACTTGATACGGCCATTTTGATTCAAGCTCGACACGTGTCCGTTACTATTCTGATAATACTTTGAACTATATTTCATAGGTGCCCGAGTTTTCTTTGACTGGTTGTTGTCGCATTCGCACGCCGTTGTGCAGCCATGTTCTTGCAAGTTCCCCTCATCTCTGTCGCGCGCGTGTACCACCTTCTTCTGACATTCCTCGCATTTAGAGACGCTGCTACTTTCCAACGCAATTGCCGGCAAAGTACACGCTTGACATCCTTTCGACAATACCTTTTTATTCTCACATTTACACAACTTGGACTTGGAGGCGTTTATTTGATTCTTCACTTCCTTCTGCTTAAGCGAACCCGTCTGGACCTCCTTGTTCGCACAATGATGGACTATTTCGGACGAGGAAACGCTGTTGCCATTCGTCTGATCGGACAACGTTTGCGAGTCAACTGGACTCTCCTCTTGAAAGCTCTTTATGTTTGTGTGCATTTTTTGAATGCTGCTCGATTGGTCCTTCTGCTCCTGTAAACATTGCATACAAGTTGTAACTACATTCTGAATGGCGTGATACTTTGAGCATTGATTCGCTTGCTCGTTGCACACGTAGCTGTTCTGGAAATGCATGGCATTGTGCGCCGGACACTTGACATAATGCACGATCTCTGACTGTATCAGAGCGGGAATTGTTGACGATTCTTGAGGGTCAGTCTGCACCCCCGTGCTAACTAGCTTCATCGTGGAACTATGCAGGGTGGATGCAGACACGATTTCACCGCCAGTCTTCGAGAGAGCACTGGTAACGTTGGTCGCCGTTTGCGCGCAGCTGTTTCGCTTTTTAATGCGTTGGATGATACTGTTTGATCTACTGGAAAATTGACAGGTTGCCAAGTTACAATGAGACGACCATGGCTCTCCCACTGAATCGGCTCGTGCGTCTGATCCGTCGCTTTTAGACAATTCGTGCAGATGCGTCAATGACCCCGAAGTTGGTTTCCTTTTAAAGTTCCCCGACCTCGATTTCTTTGGAGACGTTCGTGGCCTCTCCGATCTCCGCGATTCTTCCAACAATTTCTTCAAGTTGCACAAATGGCTAATCTCGTTCGTGATCCAAATCAACTGATTTCTTTTCTCCATCTCGGCGTAGCTAACCAACTTCGAGTCTGCGGAGTCGGAGCTACCACACTTTTTCAGTTCAAACTGTCTCTCTGAGAACGTGGTAAGCAGTCTCCAGTCATCTTGTTCCCCTGTATTGCTCGAACGAACGACAGTTCTTCTGTTATTAACAACAGCGTCCAACAACATCCGGTTGTGATCAGGTGGAGTACTGTTGATCGTGGTCGTGGTGGTAGTGGTGGTTGTGGTGGTGGTCGTCGTTGTCGTCGTTGTCGTCGTCATCGTCGAAATCTTACATCTTTCTTTCGCACAAAATATATCTTGCACTTTATTGCTTTTGCGAGTTCTTTGAGGAAAGAAACACTCCGAGCTCTCGCTCTTGTCTGGATCGGTTACAGTGTTACTGCTCCGATGACAATCGTCAGATCTAAGGCCCATCCTCGCCTTTCGTCCATCAGTTTCTGTTCTATCTGTATTTTTGTCTATTTTATCGCTACTACTTTCCAACGCGATATCTTTCGCGATGTTCCTTCTGTTCCTTGTGGACGACTTCCCTTGCGCCATTTGCTTCTGCAAATTCCAGTCACTCGAGGAATCGCTGGTATTGTGCTTTTTCGTTAAAGCCCGGAGAATCTCCCTACCGTAAACCTTGTTCCTGGCATCGTCGGGATTCCATGGAACATTGTCTTCGAGATTATGTTCGATCTTGTCGTCTGTATATTTGGTAATTAATCTCTTGACTACGTGATGTATCAGTCTTTTTTTAATCTCTTTGTCGCATTTATTCGCATCGACGAGACTCTTCAATATGTTTACGCTTCGTTCTAAATCCCTCACCAAGCTGTCCGAATCTCCCCACAGTTTCTCGTTAATACTGGAGCTGGTATTAGGTATAGTGGAATGGGACCTCCCGGTCTCGGAAGATGAGATATGGCTACCGCTTCCATTAGGAACGTTCTCGTATACGTGACCAGGAAAATACTCGAAACTATTTGCTCTGCCGGTTATATTCTCCACGTCATCAGGCTGAGGTGTATGCCTCGTGGAACCGCTTTGAGACGGTTCTGAATAACTTGCTCCGACTTCCTTGCTACGCTCGTTCATCCTAACATCTCGCTTCGTTTCATTGGCTTCGTGCTTTTTCAAATTTTGAACTTTGTACGTTCCCTTTGGATTCTCTAACATTAACGTCGAACTCTTTTGCAAACTAGTTCCTCTCTTTGGTAACGGCGGCTTTTCCTCATCGAGAACCGAGACTTGCACGCCAACGGATTCTTGAGTATAAGCGTATAGACTCGTCTGTATAACTTTATCACAAGTAGAAGGTTTATTTACAATAGTAGCGATGGAGGATGAAGAATTAAAAATTAGTGGCAACGCGGCTCTGTTCTTATCTCTAGCGTACAAATTCAACTCGCTCTGGCTTCTTTTCAACGGTAATTTAAAAGCCGGTATAACTAACGTGTTCATGGATGTGCTCTTTTTCAAAGGGGACGTAGAAGGACATATATTTTCCTTATTCGTATTCTGTTTGTTTGGTAGCTTTCTTACCTTGCTCGAGGATTTTACAAAAGGGATCTTAGATGTAAACGTTGATTTTGAAGTGTCATGGTTGTGCTCTTTCTTGATATAATGCGTAAAAGTATCTTGGTCTTTGAGATCCTTAAGAAGAGTTTTCTCACTGGATTTTATGCAGTTTCCTGTTATTATACCTGGCAAGTGGTTTTTGACAATCGGAGTAATCTCAATCTCACTTTCCGATCCTGATGCATTTTCCAGTAATGGCGTAGAATTAGCATCAGGCACTGTAGAAGTAGTTGTATTTTTCTGAATCCCCACAAGTTTCCCAGAGATTCCCGATTCTGTAGTGCCTTCAGGGTCCAATCTTAACGCAGCAGAACAACCTCTAGCTAAAGCCATGCGTTCTATTGTACTTAATTTCTTATCATTTTGTTTACAAGGTACAAGATTAAAGTAACCAACGTCTGCTCCGCTATCCCATTCGAGCGGTTTGTGAGAAGCGACACTCGAAGTTGGAGAAGATACTTTCCTTTCTATGCTTTCTGTCAGTGTCTCTTGACTTTCATTTTTCTCCTCTAAAATTGTTTCTGGCGCAATATGTTTTAAATCAGGCAATGGAGATTCTGGATTTGACAATGGTTGAACGTATCTAGATGATGACTCTGCATTTGAAGACTGACCGATAAGAGGCGGCCTCACCCATCTTCTTCTTTCTCTAGGCACGGAAGTCCTTAAATTATAATCTTCACCTATACAATCTTGTCTGTTAGCCTCTAATTTAGGATTTACTTCATATATACTGTAATAACATTTAATTGCTTCTGGTGATGTACTAGTTGCAGGCAACGAAAAATATTGATCCAAATTTGCATTTTGAGAATACTTGTGGTAATATTCCATTACCTGAGACGAAAGACTTCTGTTTGTTGATCCTAATTTGACATTTGGCTGTGGTGTCACGATCTGTAGAGAATGCCATGGCGTAGAATTCGTGGTACAGGCTGATCGTTCGAGTTTCTGTATTTGTCTTAAACGTGAGAGATCGTCTGAAGCTTCACAATCTCGCAGATGACCTTCACAATTCGATGCAGAGTCATACTCCATAATCACAAACTATACGTGCCTTGTCATCTTTCATTCAGGATCTAATACACTGTCACATTTTAACAGTAAACTGTTCTCTCGGAGGGAATTCTTCGTAGATACTAGGAAAATTAGCCATTCTTTTTTAATCGTGCACAGCACAGCTTCTTTGAAAGGTACGATGCGAAATAGAGGTTAGGACGCTATTGCGAACGAACGCAATAAGTCAGCCTGATTCTGTTAATATGAAAACAATTTTCCCAACACAATTGATTACGTCGAGTTAGATTATTTTAACGATCGTCACACTGTATTTGCTGCATGTAATGCAGTAATAATAGTCAGTAATGATAAAGTTTTATGTGAATACTTCGATTGTTGTTTATATTTCTCTAAAAACTTAACCGTAAATTAGCGGTTAATATTCTGCGTCATATTTCCGCTAGATGGTAGCGGTTTGGCTATCGCCAATGTATCATTCGTCCAGGCTTCACCAATCGTAATTCACGTTAAGATACGTTCGAGCATGTGAGTACTCGCTGTAAAGTTCGGTTTCATTCTCAATCAGAAACCACAAGGAGAAGGTTGAAACGTGCTTTCATCGTATAACCTCATAGTGTGAATAATCTACTATAAATGCAGCATCTAATGTGATACAACGGTAAAAAATGCAAAAGTGTAATATTTGTGGCAGTAAAGATTTTTACAAAGAAGCAGGACACTTTTACTGTCAAACGTGTCAAACGCAAAATGAGGTACAATATATTATACTTTATTCTCTTTTCTACAAAGACATGTGAAACAATTTCATTGTTTTTATAGGATATCCGAGAAGAAATTCTTGAATTACGTACAGATATAACGACTAGATTACGAAAAACAAGAATTAGACAGTTAAGATCCGATATATCAGGTTTGTTTCAATATTTTAAATGTTACTTTTATTAGAATTTATATTTTTAAATTTTATACATGTGTGTTTCGCTTTCAATTGTTAGGCAACGAGCATGGATGGACTTCATGGGAATTGTACAATTTTGTTTTAATTGGTTTAACGAATGAACTAATAGATCTTGGAGTTTCACCAGATATAAAATTGACAATATTACAATTATGGGCAACATATCTAGGCAATCTTGAAGTAGCATTTATCTCGACTAGAAGAAAATGCATCCCAAAGTTGGCTAAAAGATACAGAAAAAGGTAAAGTTGAATCAAATATTTAAATGAAGTTCAAATTTAGATTAATATTTATTATTTATAGGGATGCAGAAATTATTTATGGTAAGATGCAACCACAGAAAAAATCAAGAAAACGCAGAAGATCTATAGGGAGTATTACAGATACTTCTATTGTATCAAGTGGAACTAGTGAGGGTGGCTCTACAAGAGAATTAAACAGATCTAAAGTAACTTTTATATTATTTATTGAAATAAAATTAAATGTTTAATTTATATTTTACATGAATTATAATTTTTTAGAGACTTTTAATAGCAGCAGATTATGATAAGTATCTTCAATCTCAGAATCATTCTCAGGATAGTACATTTAATAGTACATTTATTCAAAGTCCAAAGTAAGAAATTACATTTTTTTACACAAAATTTCATCTAAATATTTTGAAATATTTCTTATACTTCTTAATTTTTTCAGAATACAGTTTAGTTCCCATGCCAAAGAAGAAACAAGAAAAATTAAAAGGTTATCTAAAAATCTACCTAGATGTGAAAGAGTACAATACAGGGCAAAGCACATAAGTACTCAGTATAGAATGGGACCTAATGTAATTACACCCACACGACTATGGGCAATTATATATTTAGCTTTAAGGATACACAATAATCCTATACAATTAGGAGATATGTTAAGGTATGTAAGAAATACTTTCTTTTTTTTTTTTTGTTATCATTTGACTGTAATTTTAAAAAGAATATCTCCTTTTAGATATGGAAGAGAAGGACATTTATCTTATTATAAATTGGACCATTTATTGCCACCAGAACTGAACTTGACAGCAACTGAAAAAAGTTTCTTAGTTTCTCAGAATGTTGAAATTACACATAAAGGAATGAGAAAAATTATTACAAGCATGGCAAAATCTCTTCGTGTGTGGGATATAGTCTGTCCAGATCTTTTATCTTTAATTAACAGATATTGCCAAGAATTAGGATTACCAAGTATATTTATTTATGCTTATTTATCTAGTTTATTTATATTTGTCCCTACTTCCTATTTCTATTTTTTCTTATTAATATCATCTAATTTTAGGGGGCATTCAATTATATACAGAAAGATTAATAGCTTTATCAGTTCCTAAAATGGTATTTAATGTAAAAACATCATGCATTCCAAACTATGAAGGTCGTGCAATTGCATTTATTATAGTAGTGTTAAAAATTTTACTGGGTCTAGATGGTATAACAGAGTATCGTATCAGTAGAATTGCAGAGAATATTAACAGGTATGTTGAAAAAAATGAATGTCTACTACATATATTATTTTATGTTTTGAACCTCAAAATTTGTAAATGTATGATTAATATAAACGATAAATCGTCAATTTATTTCAAACAAAAATGCAAAATATTACATTATGTAATAATACGTTAAACAAATCGCAAGAACAAATTGGCAGCGGAGAATGTAAATGTTACGAAAATAATGCTCCGTGTATAATTGTACATGGAGGTGCGGGAGATATTGACGATTTTATAATTATAGAAAAAATGACAGCTTGTAAAAAAGCTGCTGTTAATGGTTATAAAAAACTAATGAAAGGTGGAACTTCAGTGGATGCTGTAGAAGCTGCATTATGGTGGTTAGAATGTGATGAATTTTTTAACTGTAGTTATGGATCCGTGTTAAATGAAATAGGTGCATTTCATTTATTTCACTTGATTATATTTAATGAAGGTCAGTTGTGTAAGTTAAGATTATTAACATTCTTAATTAGGAAAAATTCAAATGGATGCTAGCATAATGGATGGTATCACATTTAAATGTGGATCGATAGCCGCAGTTTCAGATATAGAACATCCTATAATGCTCGCAAAATATGTTATGAACAATTTTCCAAATTCTATCTTTGTGGGTGAAGGAGCTAAAAATTTAGCAAAGCGTGCAAATTTAAATTGGATATCAGAAGGAAATATGGTTGCACCAACAGCGCGTATAGCTTTTCATTCAGGAGAAACAGGACAATTTGACACTAATATTAATAATCAAAGTTTATTGGATATCGCTATGTTAACAAGTAAATTTATTGTATTTAAGATCACAATAAGATATTAATTCTTCATTCATCATGTTATTATTTGTAGACAGTTCTGGTACTGTTGGTTGTGTAGCATATGACGGATATAGTATAGCTGCAGGAACTACGACAGGTGGTTTAAATAAAAAGTTGGTAGGAAGAGTGGGAGATACTCCAATATTAGGTTGTGGTACATATGCTATTAGAGATGTAGGTTGCTCCTTAACAGGACATGGAGAATCTATAATGAAATTAGGATTAGCCCGTGAAATCGTAGAAGACATTAAATATAATAATATTTCTTGCGAGGAAGCTCTATATAAACACTTTTCTTACATATTAAAAAAATTTGAACAAGTCGGTGGTGGAATTGTACTTCAGTCAGATGGTCGTTGGGCAACATATTTCACTTCTAATAAAATGCCATATGCTGTCATTGAAAACGATTTAATTACATATGGAGCAAGATTATATGAAGAAAGGAGAGAAATGTATAAGAACAACGAAAAAAATTCCGAATGCAAATGTCCCTTTATAATTGTACTTTTAATGTGACATATTTGTTTTACATATTAAGTTTATTGTTTTATTAATATATATAATTTCTTTCTTTTTCTTTTGGTATTTCAGCGTGGCTATTAAACGCGGTTTACTCAAGGAAAAACTTTTCAGTTTTGAAGAATGGCAAAAATATATTGAATGCAGAAAGACAATTTTAGTACACGCCCATTATCCAACTAAGGTGAAATACAGTCCAGAGTCAGATGGAATCGATGATTTATATTTAAAATTTTTAGAATTTATATCCTCTAAATCCAATAGAAATGAACCCGAGATAAAAAATTCTAAATATTACTTGCCGGAAGAAATTATTAGTTCCATGGCAAAACACATAACTAGTTTAAATATAAATGATTCACCGCTAAAGGCAATAGATATATTTCCACCATCTTTAACACCGCTTCACTCGTATCTGGAACATTTATTGGATCATCCATTTTACGATATTCCTAATGTACTACGAAATAATTTTTTTTTTACGAAAGTTAGATATATGACAAAATCCGATGTGTAAGTAGTTTGACATTATTAATTCAAAGCACGATAATTTCAATCGTATGTAACTGAAATATTTTAATATTTTTCTCAGTCTAATACAGCTAGCAACGGAATGTGATATAGAGTTAGAAATAATCGATTCGAATGTACATTTTCTCGAAAAATATGTACCTCCATTTGAACAACCTAGAATGCCAAGTATAAATGAACTAAAACAACTTATCGATGTAGAAGATGATTTACAGGATCAAAAAACTAATAGTGAAAGTGTAAATGACTATTTACACGCTAAAATACCATGTAGTATTAAATTTGATGCCATTAAAAATCAGTATTACAACAATACTGTAAATGCAATGAGGAGTTCTGAAAATACTAATGCAGACAATTATTTTACATTTACCGAAACTCTACCAAATGGAAAATTAGCAATACCTGTTGATAGCGATACCGAAAGCGAAGAAAATCCAAGTTTTACTAATAATTTAGATCAAGAAACACTTTTAGAAAACAAACTACGTGATAAATACAACGTACACTTATCAATAGCAGAAAAAGAATCCATTCGTAAGTCAAGTAGAATGAGAAAACTACATTCTAAAAAATATAAGATTCAACTTCAGCGAAACGCTAAGGGTCAATTTATTAAAAGTAGCGCTGTACCTATAAAAATTGAAAAAGATGAATCTGAATTTGATGCTGGAGAAAATATAAATTTTTATGATAGTACCGACGCAAACGTGGTAAATGAGTCGCGTATGCGGATTGAAAATAATGAAGAAAATCAATTCACTTTACCTGATATTAATCTTAGTGACATCGATCTTAATGACATTGATCTTAGTGACATTAATTTTAATATAAATGACATTTTTAACTTCAGTAACATTTCATGTTTTAGTCAAAATAACAGCACTCTCGCATCTGTAGCAAATAAGGAGAAAACTGAAGCCAAGAAGACGGATCAATTTTTTAAACCTTTCAAAGAGTATTGGATGTATGACTGCATTTTCAGCCGTGTGAAACCAAAAAATTTTGCTACATTTGAAAAATCCCTGCCGCGTAGTTTCCGTTGGTTATTAAATGAATGCGCGCTTATTGTAGAAATGTCTACGGAAGATTTGTACGAGGAAGTATGTTTAATAGAAAATTATTGTGCACATGTTTTAAAATTTGACCTCTCGAACGGCGATGATGGTACCAACATAAATTCAATACCCAAGAGTCAATTGAATTTTATTTTAAGTAAATGGTAAAGATTTGCGATATATTATGTTATATAATTTTATATAATTTTTATACATTGTCAGAATAATATATGTCAGTTCATTGAAGATATTTTGCAACAGATTTGTGCAACAAAGTACTTTTGTTTTGCTTCCTGTCCTTTCCGCTGCTACGAATCTCCTTGAATTTCTAAAAATGAATGTCTGAAATTTCTGTTTATCGACCGTGTCGAGGAGCGTGGAGCCACGTTAATAATCCGAGTCGACATTGCGGGGCGCCCCGATCAAGCAACTGTTGCACTCGTCGAGAGGCTCGTCGGTTCCCCGGTGTGTTCCTCGTCCCGAGCCGTCGCGACGGCTGAGGGACGACGGAGCGTTTCAGTAGTAAACACCAGTTGGCGTAAGGCAGTGTCGGATGGATGTCATCGTTCTGCGGTCGCTATCACGATACGTGGTGTGTGTACGATCAGGTGATGATGTGTGTACGCTAGCCGCGTGTGTATCTATGTTCTTCCCTTAAGAAACTCGCACGAGCATTCGTGCGTTCGTGCGTGCGTACGTGCGTGCGTGCGTTTGTCCAGAAGCTTATTTGCCCTCGTGCTTCAGAGTGGTCGTGACACCGCGTTGTTTTATTCGTAGCATTGCCCAATTACGTTCATCGAAAGTGCACTTTTACATTTTATTACTTTTGCATATTATAACTCGACGTTGCGTCTGTTTTCTTTGGTTCTGGTGTCGTTCACCGAGGCGTCTGGTCGCCCCACCGTCCCCGCTTCCTGTCCATCGTAAGTGATTTAATTTTCTAATAACCAATTGACTGAAAGAAACTGCATTATTTATATTTTGGGGTGCTAATTTCTTTTTTTCTTTCCTTTCATTTACGATATTATTGTATGTGCAACGCGGAATCTCGTGTCGAAATAGAGGTTTTTGAGCAGTTTCGTTGTTACGTGTGAAATATATCGATCTTACCGATGGCACACAACTAAGTATCAGTCAAGAGTCCGAATTGACATCGCATCGGAGTAGAATTATCTGCGATTGAAAAGTTTTTCGTGCACCTGCTCTGCACGCAGTTGAATTTTAGCTGACATTAACGGATAGAAAGCACGTACGAATCGATCTCAATATTCTCGGATCGTCGATCATCTTGAAATCCGTTGCCAATTGCATATGCGTCATTCACGGGTGCATCATCATTACCGTTGCGTAATTATTGTCCCTTTCTTCCGGTGACGAAATCGATGAACCGTGCCAATGTTGTGCTTCTTTCGATTTCAGTCGCACTTCCACTAATTTCGACATCTAATTCCATCCCCTCGGTCGATCGGCTGGCAAGCTATCATTCTCAAACCGCGTCCGAGAATTATGAATTAAGAACCATCGTTCCGCAAATTTCGCATTGTTGCCCGATGTTACTTTGAAACGAGGCTAACGCGCAAAAATTCACGAACGTGAAGGATGCGCTTGCGCATCTTACGTATATCATTGTAGTTATCTGTCGCGCGGATAGACCTAATCTATGGCCATAAATCGTTTTCGGTTTCAATTGTTATGACCTCCGATTATTCCGCCATTAGAATACGATCAACATACGACTTACCGTCACGACCGACGTGATATCTCACCGAGATTGATACCTGAACGATTTATACCCGAAACGTGAAATGCATCTTCACCGCCGTGAATGATAAATCGTGCAAAGGTGCCCCGGTCGCTTTCATTTAAATTCGAACTGGAGAGCGTTCCTTTGTCTACGGTGGTAATAATTTCAAACTTGCCGCTTCGAGTGCTCTACCCTCATTTCCACGTTTCATGCCGTGGCTTAAAGAGGATGTTCCTCGACGGAGGATTACTAGATCGGTCGAGATTACGGAAACCGTATCCGATATGATACATCGATGTTCTCCAGCAACGCAGCCATGCATTTCTTCCGCTGCCCGGTGCAGAAAGGATCTCGCGTGACGACGTGATACGTGGAGAAATGAATTAAAACATGAATTAAAACCGCGAGCATGTGCGAATATATACGTCAAATAAAACGATAAAATTCACTAAACGATATTGAAATGGTTGACGTAGCATTAAGTACCGAACTTGCTGGCTCGAACGAAAGCTCGAGTTGAACAGGTTCTTATAAATCTGGATCAGATCTGTCAAAGATTCAAGGGCTGGGTAATTATTCTCAACTTTTTTCTAGAGTGATGGAAACAAATATTTGTCCGAATTAATACTGTTTGAAGGTTTTGCTTAATTTCTGATAACAAACTATGATGGAATTTTAATATATCATTAAGATAAGATATGGGACCAATTTTTTAAAAACAATGTAACTCTTAACCAAAAGCACTTTTTTTATATACATGGTATTTTTTTCTTTTACAATTTGCCGGAAAACAGAGTAAAAAAACATCAGCATCTTCATACTAAATTAGGTTATGCCAAATTCATAAGATAAGGAAAACAGATACCTAATATGAGATCCGATTAATTTTTTTCTGAAGCTTATTTTTTTTTTCTTTCCTTGCACATTGGGCAAATGAAATCTATCTCGTCCACAATCTTTGTGAGATTATATCGATAAAATTTTGTTCACTGAACCTACTGTTGTACCATCATGTATTCCGCGTCGTAATTTTCTTCACGATCGCTTTCGTCATTCAGAACGATATCTTCGTCACTTTCATCTCTTGAACTTTCATTTACACGTTTCTTTTTAATGGGGGTCTTCAATTGTTACTTTTCATTACCTTGATTTTACCTTTTTCATTCGAGCTTTCTTTTAGTCTGTCTTTGTAGGATGACTTAGCTTACAGATAACCAATTCAAAAACCATTCGTTTTATGTCCGATCTCCGTAAATAAGAATATTTATTATCCATATAAAGATAATATTTAACTATTCAATTATTTCTTGGCTTTTTACCAAGAGGCTTCGGTACCAATTCTTCAGGAGCAAAGTCGATATTTTTTTACGTAACGTTCGAGAGTTTTGTTCTTTAAGAACATTGAAAAATTTCGCCGCTTTTTTATAATCTATATCATCTTCTCGAACTGTGCTTTTCGAGATCTCATTCTGTTTGTTTTTCTTCAGCGGAACCCGCTTAAAAAAACGAAGATAATTAATCTTATGTGCGACCTATCTCATAATTGGAAACAATACTTCCTATAACGTCATTTAAAAATTAATATATACATGTAATCAGTAAATCTTAAAACTTCACTGCCTGAGCTGATTAAACACTTACCATATTGGTAGGTATTTATAATAGAGCAAGAATCTTTTAAAAACATTTCCTGACGCGACTCGCTAACGTCTGTTTCCCGGAGGTCCGTTTCAACGATTTTCTAACGCCGTAACGTGCAGACGAAACAACTGATAAATGCTGGCGAACGAAAGGAAACATTGCGATCACGTTCGACGATTCCATAACGAAGATAAGCTAGGGTCTCATATTAGGAGAGGTCTCACATTAGGGCATCATTTTGCCCTACGCGTCATGCAATTTGTCGTTGAATACGAATCCGAATAGATTGAGAGTACGCGAACGTCGTGCACAATTACTCCCTTCGCTGTTCGTTTTTTCTTCAATATTTTTTTCCTCTCCCTCCGCCGCCTCTTTCGTTTTCTTTTCTCTCGTTATTTTCTGGTAGAGCACAACGCAACAAAGGGAACTTTATTTTTAATTTCAATGACATTACGCAACCTGTAATTCGTATCGGCTCCACCGGTGGAGAAAATAATTCCTTGTGTAACAAAGCATCGAATGGTTCATTGAACCATGCTCCTTTCTCCGAGTATTCGCCGAGCGATCCCGTGTCCCGGCGAAGCAGCGTATCATCGATTACACATTGTTAAGCCGATCTACGTTGTCGAGTCGTTCGCAGGCCATCGAGGTTGCACTTGCACTGGCGCGTACACGCCGGTTTTATATTTAGTTCCCCTCCCCGGCCACTTTGAAACTTTCTGCAACGTTTGGGAAACAAACATACCGGCCGGCCGGGCCGGGCCGGGCTGCGTATAAATTGCAATCACGAGCCTTGTCGACAATATCTCTCTCGGCCGTTTCAACACCTCCTGCATCCTGTTGCACGCATCCTGTGCGTCGAGACAGGAGGCCTTCGAGGAGGTTAATCGGAGCCAGTTATCGGTGGCTTGCACCGATCAACCGCTTAACTCGCCGTGGCATCGGCGTTGGAGGAAAGAGTAACAGTCTCGCGCAAATATATCTGAACGCTTAACCATTGGTATTGATATTGATATTGATATTGACAGAGTTAATTCTTTTAATAAAGTCCCCCCGTTAAATTCGACGATCTTTATGACGGAGGCGTAACGCACGCAATGGATCGACTTTTATCTACTTGCAGCAATGTAGATGGATATTGTAAATCAAACGAGTCGTACGTGAAAAGTCGTCGTGTTTCACTTATCGTTAGTGTCGAAATTAAGCGGAACACTTCGGAATTGGAGAGTCGAGTCGATAGGAGCGGAAAATATTTAAACAGAAAATCCACGTAGCAGAGATGAACCACTTGCGCTGGCAAACTGATTGCGGACCATAACGAGCGGCCGAACCTTAGACAACCATTTGTCGCTTTCTTTTTGAACTCGGCATAATAGAAATTATACTGGATAGAAATTATTGAGAAGTAATAAATTTATTATTTGTTTTGCCTCGATTGTACTTAAATATACTTAAAACTCAGAAAATATTGCAATTTTTGGACAAGAAACTCTCGACGTGCGTGGCACGTCATTACAGCGGATTGCGGACCATAACGAGCGACCGAACCGTATACAATTATTCGTCGCTTTCTTTTTGAACTCGTCGGTACAACATTATTGGATAGAAATTATTGACAAGTAATAAATTTATTATTTGTTTTACTGTAAATATACTTAAAATTAGGAAAATATTGCAATTTTGGGACAAAAAACTCTCGACGAATATGGCATGTCACTCCAGCTCATTGCGCTGGCAACTGACTGCGGACCATAACGAGCGACCGAACCGTATACAATTATTCGTCGGTATAACATCACTGGATAGAAATTATTGACAAGTAATAAATTTATTATTTGTTCTGCCTATTTTGTTTTACTTGAATATACTTAAAATTGGGAAAATATTGCAATTTTGGGACAAAAAAACTCTCGATGTGCGTGGCACGTCATTACAGCAGATTGCGGACCATAACGAGCGACCGAACCGTATACAATTATTCGTCGCTTTCTTTTGGAACTCGTCGGTACAACATTATTGGATAGAAATTATTGACAAGTAATAAATTTATTATTTGTTTTACTTGAAACATACTTAAAATTAGGAAAATATTGCAATTTTGGGACAAAAAACTCTCGACGAATATGGCATGTCACTCCAGCTCATTGCGCTGGCAACTGATTGCGGACCATAACGAGCGACCGAACCGTATACAATTATTCGTCGGTATAACATCACTGGATAGAAATTATTGACAGGTAATAAATTTATTATTTGTTTTGTCTATTTTCTTTTACTTGAATATACTTAAAATTGGGAAAATATTGCAATTTTTTGGGACAAAAAACTCTCGACGTGCGTGGCACGTCATTTCAGCGCAAGAGGTTAAATAGCGAATGTATCGCACGGTAAACACGGTTGAAATATATTGTTACGTTCTTTAACATTTAATTTAAATTCACAGTTTATAATTCAGCTCGTTAATTCGTAATAATAACAGTTTGCAGAGTCAGCTCATTAATTCGTAATTTAAATTTACAGTTTGTGAATCCTCGCTTA